TAATGTTTGGTTCTTTTGTCTTTCTGATATATCTTTATTGTTAGAAAGAGATGTTAGTAAAAACTCTTTCCAGTAATTAAAATAATATCATGACAAATAGTTCTGAAATTCTTATGAATAACAGTTTAAATGATTCTTGGGTGAGGTCAGAACTGATAGGTTGTTTCAAACCATGACTTTTTGCAGTTTTTTTTATTGTTTTTTGATTAAGTATTTATTAATAACTTAGCCTAAGTTAATCTACTTGTAACTTTTTATAAATGTACTATAAAAATAATGTGGTGTAATTATTTTCTTAAACCTTTAGGTTAACAAACTTTCTAAAATTGGAGGTAAAACCATTAAGACAAATACAAATACATGTGATGCAAAGGTTTGTTAAAAGTAGTTTTAAATAAAAAATCTTTTGAATCTTTTTTATAGTTTGTTTTAAACTTGTGTTAAAAATCTGTGTAGCATATATTTTTAAAAGTTTGACGAATTCTAATCAGACATAAAATGAATCTTTTTTTTTTTATGTCTGATTATAATTTTTTATGTAACTGTTTTCTCTTACTTTTGTATTTCCTTGAGCTAAAGAACAACCTTAAAGTACAAAGGTTGATTTGTAACGCATACTTAACCTTTTTTTTTACTCTATATATACATACATATATATGCACATACATATATATGTATGTATATATACATACATGTGTGTATATAAACATACATATATATGTATGTATATATACATACATGTGCTTATATGAATATATTATATATATATATATATATATATATATATATATATATATATATATATATATATATATATATATATATATATATATATATATATATATATGTATATATATATATATATATATATATATATATGTATATATATATATATATATATATATATATATATATATATATATATATATATATATATATATATATATATATATATATATATATATATATATATATATAATATTAATAGTGCAATTTAAAGTTTTTTCTTTTATATATTACATACATGTGCTTATATGAATATATTATATATATATATATATATATATATATATATATATATATATATATATATATATATATATATATATATATATATATATATATATATATATATAATATTAATAGTGCAATTTAAAGTTTTTTCTTTTATATATTACATACATGTGCTTATATGAATATATTATATATATATATATATATATATATATATATATATATATATATATATATATATATATATATATATATATATATATATATAATATTAATAGTGCAATTTAAAGTTTTTTCTTTTATTTATAAAGTTGTACTTGATAAAAACAAATAAATAAAGATGAACATTTTGAATATTTATTGATTATTATGATAAATTATATAAAATACAGTCAGGTGACAATTTATTATAGCCACCCACAATTTTTCAAAATTATCAAGTTTCAAAGTCTATTATTTTTGGTATTTTTTTGTGATTTATGTACTCAAAGTAACTTTTATTTAAGAAATGGGTATTTTTTTGACAAATAAAAACATTTAACATATTGTTTATTATTTTATTATTAAAATATTATTAAATAAATTTTATTATTCAAATTAAACAAATTTTATTATTCAAATATTACTGCAAATATATTCAAGATCAATATTTGGTGATTCCTCCTTTGCCTCTATAATTGCAGGAACCCTTTTTGGCATACTTTTAATGCATTTTTGAGCCATTTCCTTCAATTCTTTATTATAGTTCCAATGTTGAATAATTCTTTCTATTAAATACACTTTATTTGTAATAATTTTTTCAGATATTTGCTTCTTTAGGAGCGCCCAAACATTTTCTATAGGATTTAGGTCAGAAGAGTTTCCTGACCAATCAAGTAATGGAATATTTTGTTCTGATAGATATTTTTTAACTGATTTAGCTGTGCGACATGGTCATGCCCTGTCCTGCATGAAGGCTTTTTTTTCACCTGGACTAAACTATTCTGCCAATTGTGACAACAATCTTTGTTCCAGCATTTTTATATTGTAACTGTAACATTTTTCATTCTGCAATATAGAACCTTCCTATTTCTTTTACACATTTCATTGATCAGATCATCACAGAGGTGGGGTGTTTAACAGTTTGCATGATGCAGTCCAATAAGTATTTTTTCCCTTTTTTTCTTTTTAAAACTTAAAAGTACTCTCGCCGCTAAAGCATACCTTCAAATATTATACAAGGATTGTTAAGTGAATATTGAATGAATATTTAAAGTTTAGTGTAAGAAAGTGGATATTTTAAATTCATCTAAATTAATTTTATTAATTACCAATCATATGTTAAATTCCTATACTTTTTTGTCCACTCAAGCATTTTTTGTACAATTTTTGGTGTCAGTTTAGGCTTCTTAGCTGGATGTCGTGAAATGTAACCAAGATTGTGTAGGCAATGTTGGACCGTTCTCTTCAACATTTTGACTCCAGATTGGCCCAGCTTATTAGTTATTTTGTTGTTGGTGGCCCGTCTATTTTCTAGAACAATCTTGGTAAGTATTCATTTCCTGCATGGTGTTAGGATTCTCTTCTTTCCACATTTACCAACCCTCTTTGGCATCAAGTTCTCCATATTAGCATTTTTTTGTGTATATTTTGTACAGATACCCGCGAAATACCATATTTTCTGGCTATTTTTCATTGAGAATGATCAGTATTTATTAAAAGTGCCTTGATTTCAGCAATTTTTTGTGACAAGTTTTTTTTTCCCTCATAACTAAAATAAGATATCACATATCAGTATCACATAACAGTTAAGAATTTGCTTTGGTACTCATAACTTTAAAAATATCAAACTAAATACAACTATTTTTAATTTAAAATAAAAAGAAATATTCAAGAAATTTTTACTGATTTAAATAAGTAATATGACGATAACCTAATAAAAGAATTCAAAACTTTGGAAATAAAACTTAACAAGTGTACAGCAAAAAGATTATAATTAAGACGACATCATACAAAATGGCTGTCAAAAGTGACAGTGTTGCCAGTAGCAAAAAAAAAGCATTGATTTTATAAGTTAAAATTTTATTTTAAACAGAAGATTAACTTTCAATAATGAATTTTTACTCTTCAAATGAAAAAAATGAGATTAAATTTCAAAATGATCAAAACTCTTAGGTGGCCATAATAAATTGTCACACAACTGTATATATAAAGTATAAATATTTTGCAAAAACACTTTTATTTGCAATAACTGCTTCATTGCATTGTGGCATGCTTGCAATTTATTTTTTATAGTTTCTGTCAACTCTGGGTTATTATGCTAGATCTTGATAATCTCTTCCATAAGATCTTGCTTATTAGTAAGATTTTTTTTTTCCAATCTCTTGCTTTACTATTTTCCAAATATTTTCTATGGGGTTAAGATCATGCGAGTTGTCTGGCTATAGCAATACATCAACTAAGCCATAACAGTTTTTATTGTGTGGCAAGTTGCACCATCTTGCATAAATATAAGATTTTTGACATTATTTTTAAACTTTTTTGTCAATTTTTGACATTTTCGGCTGGACATCAATCCCTCTTCTTTTAGCCTTCTACAAATGGTCTGGTCTGACACAACAATTACAGCTTCATGGATAAGCTTAGTGGCTTTTTTTCTCTTTTCCAGGCAGATATTTCTGATTATACTGTCCGCTCTTGGTGTTTTCTTGCGTTTAGAAGGTGGTCTCCTTGGACCAAACTCTTCCCCTGTATGAATTCTTTTTCTTACTTGCATTACGGTTTAGTAAGAAACCTTTTGCGTTGGGTGAGAAACCTTTGGTAAGAAACCTTTGTGCTATTTTTTATTAAGAATAATTTGTATTTTGTAAAAGACATGTATATCAATTTTTGTTACTATGATATTAATAACAATGTATAATGTAGGTTGTTGACCAATGGTTTATAATCAAAATTTAATATGGCTGACGGTAAAGGTAAAGAGAAATTTAAAGGAACAAACATTAGGTATTTACTTGTAAGTTAAGTGTAAAATTATATATTTTTAAAAATCACAGTTCGTTTTTTTAATGCTATTTTATTTTTAACTTTTTGATGTATTTGATGAAAATTACTCAGGCAATACCTTTTTTATAGAGAGAGTTTTGTCAATTAAAGTGACTGCTACAGTTGCCGAAATAAGAAAAGGAATAATGAATTTATTAAAATACGCACTCGACAGATCAAATGGTGGTGGTCGGCGCATAAAAGGCGATTAACCCGATGTATAACATTCATACTTTTTCCTAGTTGTTCTGGAACTATTGATAATAGTTATTATTGATAAATTGATAAATATAATACTGATAAATAAAACTTTTTTTTTTCAAACATTTTATTTTATTTGCATTGTATATAAAGTCCGTTGAAGCAATTTAGTTGTATCTGATTAATTTACGTGAAATATAATATCCTCTGCGCAAATTATTGCTTTTTTATTGTGTTAATTTATTGCAATTAAAGTTGAGAAAATTTTTTAGTTAATTGGATTTAACCAAAATAAAAAACAAAAATCAACGTTGATTTTACGTTGTTTCAACGTTGTTTTAACGTCTTATCAACTACGTATCAATCGAATATATCACCTATTCAAAGTTGAAATATGGTTGATATGTAGTCGATAAGACGTTAGATCAACGTTGAAACGACGTAATCATCGACGTTGTTTCAACGTCGTAGTTTTCGACGTCGGATTTTATTTCCAATTCAAACAAATTTCAACGTTGTTTCAACGTGGCATATGGTCGGTTTGCGACGTTGTTTCAACGTTATTTCAACGTCATTGTGCCGGCTGGGAAGGGATTCCGAGCTGGTTTTGCTTGGCGGTATAGCTTTAGGTGGTGTGTAATGAGTGAGGTATCTTCCATCAGGCTCACACGTCACAGATATATGTTCTTCTTTTATAGTCCTAATGTAGTTAAGTCCTTCTTGCCATCAATAAACAAACCTCTAATAGGTTCTTTGTCGATTAACTTTTCTTCATACATTATTACTCTCTCCATTATTTCTTACTTTCATAGGATCAACAGGTAAATAAGACATATCAAGCATCAAATACTTTGCTTCAATAAGGTCTAGAAGAAAGGATGTAATAATAGCTGATGTTGCTACTGGTGAAATATCATATCTTATTGAAGCTTCTGCAATATGACTTATTGACATTTTTTTCCAAATCTTGTTTTGAAGCGGATCTTCTGAAATCTTTTCCTTTTTTAAATCTGAATAATCCTCAATTAAACATTCAACAACGTTGTCATTTTCTACCTTAAATTTTTTTTTCCATTTCTAATTTTTTCTCTACTCTAGACTTTCTCTTCATTTTTTTCTCCTCTCGCGAAAACTGTTTCGCGGTCTCTTTAATATCATTGAAACCCATCTGGTATTTTGAAATAGATTCTCTTTTTTTCCTTTGGGCATTAAGCCATAGAAGTTCAACCTTTGGAATTTTTTTCTCTTTTACACAAGTTCATTTAATATGTACTTGTTTGACGCAAGAATAAGTTTTCAAACACAACTCGTTACATAACATAATTTCACACTTGCACATGTTATATCTAGAAATTCATCCAGTTTTGATTCCCAAAAAGACACGTGTGTCTGAGAAGCTTTCCCATGTGCTATATCTTTGATCTTGTTCCAGGAAAACTCAATTTTTTCCATCAAAGTTCTTTCCAATAACCACTGGAGGTTTAAAAAGAGCATTTGCTTTCATCTACTGCTGAAAAACGATATCAGCTAGTAGTCGAGAAAAGTCTCTCAATCAAATATTCCTTCTAAAGACAAAAATATATAATATAATGCAAAATGTATAATTTGTTTCATAAATTTTGAGTTTCTTGATTATTACCTGTTAACATCTTCTCGAAGTAGAGCTTCTTGGATAAGCAGACCTTTTCTCAAAATATCTCTTAAAGTTGGCACTTCTGACGGAATAAGATCCTTACTTCTGCCTAAATTTATTAATAACTTTGTTTCCATAGAGAGTCTTGTGTTTTTTGAAGTAGTCATAGTTAATTTAATATAATTATTAGAATTGGCATTTATATGATTGCAAATAAAAACAAGAACTCTTTGTATACAGTTTTTAAACCATGAAAAACTCATAAAAACATAATTACATAGTAAACTCATAAAACTCGTAAAAGATAAACTCATAAAAACATAATTACAAAGTTGAATAGTCTGAAATCACTTACAATTCAACCGCCAAGTGAAATAACAACATCATTATTAAGATACACTTTTAATTATAGTCATTTTAACTGATTTATAAAGACATCATTCATAAAAATAAAGTCTGAAATTTTCTAGTAAAAAAATGCCAATGAATGTCCTTGTTATTTAAAAAATTTAACATTATATTTTATACTTTAACATTTTTTTTCAATCTTATAAGGCCATTTTCCCCGCAAAAAATTTAACTTTTTTAGAAAAAAAAATTATTCACGTTTCACAGCATATGGTAATATATATAAAAAAATCTAAATAGTTTCATATTTCAATAATTTTAATATTTTGATTGTTTTGAATTTTGAGTTTAATGTCTTAATCAGGACAAATTGTCTTAATCAAATACAATCAGTCAATCAATATATCAATCAATATCAATCAATTTATATTTTAAAATACAAAAGTTGTTACAACTCAAGGTCATTTACAAATATTAATGAACTAATCCAAAGTAAATACCAGATATTAATGGCAATAACAAATAAAAATGAAAATAATAATAACAATAATAATGTTATAAATAGTATTAAAGACATTCATTATATAAGAGTAATGTAACACCAAATAATAATAACTACATTCCATACATATGATAATAATAAATACAACACATACATAATAGCAATATTAAATAAATATTTATTAGCAAGAATAATAGTCATATAAACAAAAAATAAATTTAAATAATTTAAATAAATCATTACTAAATGCCACACAACAATCGTTTATACATACAAAGTTACAGTTAAAAACAGTAATAAACAGACAAAACGTAACAACTAACAATGACATAAAAAAAACTATTGTTTAAAAATTCTAAAGACTTAGTTAATATAGCAATCATAATTGTTATAATATAATAACCATATAATAATATAATTATTGCAAAAATAATAAACAAATAAATAAAATAAAAACTGATAAAAATAAAACAAAAAAAACACACACAAAAACGTTATGAAACAAAAGAACTTATAACAACAAAAAAACAACAACATAATAAACAAAACATTTAATGTAATAAAATAAACAAAAAATAGTAGTACCAATAAAAAAGCATAAAAACAACAAGAAAATGTAAAAACACATAAAAATATACATCTGCTCGTTCGTTATTCGAGCAATAATTTTGTATTATTTCTTTTTTTTTATTTATTTACTTCTCTATGTATTGTTATTTTTATTGTTTCTTTTGCTTTCGTTTTTTTTTCTTTGTTTCTTTCAGTGGGAAAAATATAATTGAAATTTTCAGTCATCTTTAGTTGTAACTATTTGACTGTTTTTTACGATACGGATTTAAATTTTGCTGATTAAAACTCTTGTACTTAAAGATATACGTGTTGTCTGTCACTTTAAAACATTTCCAGTATGAACTTAATATTTATTTATTTCTAATTGAAAAAATTAAAGTTTTTGAAACATAGGGCTTAATGCCCCACTTACAATATTGTACATAAGTACTCAGTACTTATGTACAATATTGTAGGGTAAAGTAAGTGCTGTACTGCAGTACTGTACTGTACATATAATAATGTACAATTGGTTAATATATGATGTGAACGTATACATCATTTGTACAATTGTGCATACAATTGTATGTACAATTGTACATACAATTGTATGTACGATTGTACATACAATTGTATGTACGATTGTACATACAATTGTATGTACAAAATTTGTATGTACAATTGTACATACAATTGTACATACAAATTTCTGTTGATTACCGCTGATTTCTGTACAACATTACTTAAACGCCTTGAAAATGTCTTATGATTATCAAGAAAAGTTATCTAAAAAAGCTGCTGAACGTTACCAGAACAAAATTTAGCGTTATATTGAAATAAATCTGTGCAAATGCTTAAAGGAATCATGGAATTCAATTAATTCATCATTTTGAAATTATTGCACAGTTTACAGATGTAGTCAATAAATAAAACAAAAATATTACATATTGATATTCTAATAACATTTAAAAGTTCTATATTTTGCTTAAAATTTTCCTCAGTGTAATATTTATTCCTCATATTTTTAATATATGTGAAATAAATGTTATAAATAAAAAATATTTTTTACAGTATAATAATGAAATGATCAAAATTACTAATTACAGCAATTTGAATTATAACATCGTAACAATATTTATAAAGTTTTTTAGTAAATGGTATGAGGATTAACAATATTATGTCTTGGCTTTTAAAAAATAACATAAATGACTTTTTATCTTCATTCACGAAGGTACTCTCTAAAACCAGTGACAACAGCAGAAACTCTACTAAAGAAAATAGAACACAGTCAACATGCTTTTCAAAATTTTGAAAAGCATCTAGACTATGTTCTTTTTTTTCCTAAAAGAAAAACATACTTACAATGAATAAAAATGAAAAAAACTTAATAAGTTCAAGAAAAATTTGTGCCCTTATATTTTGACAATTCAAATACAAAACTTACCAGATACAAAATGTTCTGAGCATACTTAGACATGTTTTGCAACCAAAGTTTGTTTTTGCAAGATGAATCAATTCTATATAAAGCATAAAGCCACGATTTTCTTCTCTTTGGATCAGGAAGCAAAATATAAAAAATCAAGTTCGGATGACTATTAACATTAATTGAACAATTAAAAGCACATTTCTCCATTTTCAAGCGCTTTGTTTGCCCCCATACCATAATGGTAGTCGTTTTGTTAGTTAAAGTGACGTCACGTTCGTCGCAAGGATTGCTGAAACAAATAATATTGCTGAATAAATTTCACTAATTGTGGAACTCAATAATAAAAAATGTTGTGCTAGCATGCTATAAGTAGCAAAACATCATCTATTAATATCACAATAATACTATTAAAAGTGATTGTGGAACTTGTTCCACTATCTTATTTATCTATTTCAGCAATTGTCACAGCTTACCTTATTATTACTGGTATTACCAATACTATCAATATTTACTACTATTATTATATAGGGCTCACCTACAACCATATATAGCGTTAAGAGGAATACAACATATCTGGGAACCTTCCTTTACTTTTTTATTATAATGTTCAACTTTTTCTTTTGAGTCGATTTTGACGGGGTGAAAATTCATTCTACAATATTCAATAACAGACTTTTCTGCTTCATCAAAATCTCTAAAATTCTTCATGAAAATGTCCTCCATTCTTCATGAAAATGTCCTCCATTTTTAATCTTTAAGAATCTTATTGAAAATCTTCTAACTATTAAATTTTATTCAAAAACTCTCTTCGAAAATATACTCGTTGTTTAAAGCATGCGCATTTTGGAAAATGAAAGTAAATTTTAAAAATATTCTAAAAATAGATTTTCACTGTACCTATCAAAAAACGCATCCTTAGGTACAGTGAATTTTCACTGTATTTATTTAATTAACGAATTTAATTCGTTCAAAAAAAAAACTTAAAAAAAAATCGTAGTGTAAACTATACTTTGCAGCATTTGCAGCAGTTTTTTAATTGGTTACAAATATACAACAAAATATTTCCTTTAAATCGTGATACAAAGTTTTTGAATTTTAATGTCTAAGCATAGTCAATAACTTAAAGATGTTCTAATAAGATTAAAACTGACGATCTTGTTTGAGGATTTTGTAAATTGATGATCTTGTAAATATGTTTTATGAAACTATTGGATAAATTTATTAAAAACAATAACAAAATGGTTACTAATAAAGATCTTTTAAGTCATTTTATCGATGGCTCAATTAAAAGAAATATATGAGCAGAAGTTTTTATCCCGTCTTAAAAAAACAATAAAAAGCATTGTATTGCTTTGAGGTAAATCACTTTACTTTTTCTTCAAAAATAATTGTCTTATTTTATTTTAATACAATAAGTTAATCTGTGTTAATTGTATAAGCAACTTGAATCTAGATATAAAAAAACTGTTGGGGTTAAGGATATGATAAAACCAGTTCTGCCTCTGAATATATAAATTGTCTTTCTGTTCAGGTTCTAATTATAACTTCAAAGGCTCTGTATACACATTGTCATAGCTATCAACCGAACTTATTTGTTTTTGAATCGTGTAATGTCTAATTAGTCTCAGAGGTTTTTTCTAATTATTCCAAATTAATTATTCAGAAAATAGATAAAGTTTTTTTTTAGAAAAATTGGTATTTTAAAGCTTGAACCTCAAACGCATAAGAAAAATTAAAGAATGTTTGTAGAACTAGATGGATTGAGCGTATAGATGGTTTAAACACTTTTCTTGAACATTGTTCATCAGTTTTCCATGCTTTATGTATCATGGTTTTCCCTAAGAGTTCTGTTAACAAAGGCACACAAAATAAATCTTCTAATTTTTAGCATTCCATTAGCACTTTTCAATTTATCTTTACTCTATTTTTCGCAACATCTGTCTTTAATTTTACTCTACCTGTTACTTGTTTACTGCAATCAAAAACTATTAATGTCACAGACGGTTTGCACCTTATTACAGCTCTTAAAAATAAATTTGTTATCATCTGAATAATATATATAATTTTCAAAATAGCTGCTACGAAGCATCATGTTTGCATCCCTAATAATATCCCTAACTCTTAAATCAATATTATTTCCTGGATTTGAAAATATTAATATAGAATAAGGATACTTAATGTGAGAGGAGTTTTTCTGTTATGTGTCAGTTAAAAGGCTATACAAGAACAAAATGTCAGAAGATTGACTTGACAGTTTTGTATTAATGTATATCCATCAAGAAATTGTTCCTTCTATTAATAATGTTATTAACAGATTTTCTAAAAAAAGTGATGACCTTATTTCAATGATTAGTGTTTATGCTGCTATTCTAACACACACCAACTACTAAAAAATATATTATTATATATTAAAATATATTAAAAATTATTATTATATATTAATTCTTTTCCATTATCACAGCTCTTCCTATAACAGCTAACAAATATGCGTGGAAACCCCTTGAAAGACCATCAATGGTGTCCTTAACAGGGCGGGTTATATGTAACCCCATACTTTTGTTTGGGATTAGCTATATGGTTAGTGGTCATTGTTCAGGCAAACACTGACCTTTGCTTTCTGACATTGACAATTTCTTTCTAATATTTTCTAATTTAGTGATAAAATAAAAAAAATTAAATTTATTATTAATAAATTTTCTCTCAATCAACCTAATGATTTGCTTAAGTTTTTGCGCCATTTAAACCAGTTTTTTACTGTAATTGTTTTCAAAAACTGTTGCTTTTCTTTTCATTTGATCAAAAATTACCTTCTTTTTTGTTGTTAAGGTTTAACTTGGTTTAACTTTTTTTTTAATCTTGTAATATAAAAATATATATTACCTTTTTGTTTACCATGTATATAAATCTATTTGTATTTGTGTCTTTCTCTTTTCTGTATTAATTTTTCTTTTTCTGATTGTCCATGTCTGGAATGAAATATGTTCCTAGACATGCTGATGAGGGCAAAACAATCATTTGTTGGGTTACAGTCATTCTGGGTAACTTTGAATTTGCGTGTAACATTGAATAAAACGTGTAAATGTTTTAAATTTTTTTTTTTTTGATATTTTCTTTGTCTGTTGCTTTAACAAAGGATAATATAATAAATTACCTTTTTTTTACAAAAGTTTGACCATAGATAAATGAATTTTGTTTCTCAAAAATATTTTTTTCCTCGATTTCCAGTTACACAGTCGAATGTGGTGATAATATCGTGTGTTGTCAATTTAGAATATTTGTTACTATATTGTAAATATCAGAATAGATTTTTTAGTATTTTATTGAATTATTTTTAATGCATTATTAAAAAATTTTATTACAATAATGCATAATAATTTATTTTATTACAATAATGCATAATAAATATAATAGACATCTTTTTATTATAGTATTTTTATTATGTAATAATATATATATATATATATATATATATATATATATATATATATATATATATATATATATATATATATATATATAATATAAATATCATAAATTAAAATATCTATTGCTGATGTATTTTGATATTTTAAGTTTTGATATTTATGGCTATTTTGATAGTTTTAAAAACTTAATTTATTAATAGCAAATATGCGATTATTTATATAATTTTCATTAATAACAGCAATTATCTCTGTATTTTTAGCATTCTTAAAATGCCAAGAAAAAGTTTGACAACTCATCCTGGCACTAGAAAATATGGCACAATATCTAATTACTCAAATGCTACACTTCAAGAGGCATTAGCCAAAATTAAATTAGAAAACATGTCGATTGGTGAAGCTTCTAAAATTTTTAAAGTACCTAAAACAACATTGTTTTATACGCTAAAAAGTAAACACTGTAAATCAGTATCTCGATTATAGTGGAAAAGATATACAACAGTTTAAAGATAACCAACCAGATTGGGAGTGGTGTAGACTTTATCTTGACAGATATCTCATTGTATTTCAAGGAAACGTGCACAGGTTAATTATTGTCAAATAGAATTATTTTTTCAAAATCTAGAAAAGGAATTAAATGGAGGAACGCCAGATAACATTTATAATATGGATGAAACAGGGTTTCATGACGAACCTGGAAAAAAAAAACTTATTTTTTGTTGATCCTCTCGCCATCCAGAACTTATAACAAACACTACAAAATCTTGTTACACTGTTGTTTTTTGTGGAAATGCCTCTGGAAAGCTAATCACTCCATTTTTCATTTTTAAAGGAAAACACAGTTGGTCTGACTGGCTTTTTAATGCACCAGAAGGATCAAGAATGGGAACTTCTTGCAGTGCCTGGATGGAAATTCAAATATTTGAAGAGTGGCTGTTAAATCACTTTGTTCCAAATATTATAAATAAGGAAGGTAAAAAAATTCTGGTTTGTGATAATTTAAGTGTTCATATATTTTTAAAAGACTTGAATATTTGTGAAAAGCATAATATAACATTTATATGTTTGGTACCCAATTCCACACACCTTTTACAAACTCTAGATGTTGGGTATTTCTTGAGTTTAAAAGCTAATTGGAGGTCAGTTCTTAACCAATGGCGTAAAACATTCCGTGGGAAAAAAGTTAATAACCTACCAAAAAATTTGTTTTCGCAGCTCATTAAATCTACTCTTAATGTTGGTAAAGAAAATCTAGAACATAATCTACAAGCAGGATTTAAGGCTACTGGCATATATCCATTCGACCCTGAACATGTTCTCTCGAAATTAACCAGTTTTACAAATATAGATATTCATCTCAACATTGGAGAATCGTTTAGGAAATTCGTAGATGAAATTCATACATCTAATCTTAATTATGAAGCAAGCAAAAAATTCAAGTTACCAATAACAGCAGGGAAAAGTGTATCAGCCACTGAGGTAGAAGCATACTATAAGTTAAGAGACAATCAAAAAAAAAAAAAAAATCAAGATAATATTCGAACAAAGAAAAGAAGAAGACAACTTGGATCAAAAAATATAATTATGAAAATAAACAAAAAAAATGTTTCACAAAGTTCAAGCATTGTAGATGTTAATCAAATTATTGAAGACAATGAGCAAGTTTTATCTCAAAATGATGCAGTTTCTTCATTAGAGCAAATAAACAATCGAAGTATACTTGTTTTCCATGATCATGATTATTCGATTAAAGAGTTAGTTGTGACTCAAGACTTAAAGAATGGACTTAAACACTGTAATATTTAGTTTTATAGTCACAGGTGTTTATTTGTGTGAAATTATATAAAAATGATGTCTTAATTATTTTTTCTTTCATAACCTTAAAAATTGATCAACAAGTTCATTAAGTGATTTGTAATATTTTATTGAAAAATTTGTTTGTTTATTCTCAATATAGATTAATTAGATTTTTTTTTAAATTAATTTGAGCTATTACAACGAAATTTAAACGACTTTTTAGGTTTAACTGATTGAAATTGACATTTAATTTAATAGTGTTCAAAGTTACCCTAAATGCAAGTGTAACTTTGAATCCCTACTTGAACTTTGTTTTTTAACAAAATAACTAGCAAATTTAAAAAAATGATAACAAACTAGAAAAAAGAGATCGTCAGAACACCTTTTATATAAAAATATTTGTTAACTAAATTGTAAAAAAAATTTGTTGAGATAAACCTAGCGCAAAGCGTTCAAAGTTACCCGGAATGACTATATATATTTATTATTGTAATATATTATGCCAAAATGGTATGCTTTTTTTTTTTTGACAGGGTTAATTAAAAACCTGCGTCCGCCCCTGAGTGTGTAGTTGATACAACAACATCACAGTCAGCTAGTTCTGAATTTACAGATTATTTTTCATGTGGTAAATTGCGTTATCCTGGTGATAACGCAATTTACCACAACTCTTTTCACGTCTACTTTTTTTTTGTTATTTGCTGTTTAACAGTGTTTCAAAGTCTGAAAAACGTTTTCAAAGTGTTGTTTATTTAAAGAATTTATTTTTATTCTTGCATTCAAAATTACCATTTAATTTAGAAACAGACAGTATAGATATTACAAAAGTTATCTCACTAATAACTAACTGTTTCTTGAAAGGTGTTATGACCCTTGATGATACATCGGATATTGTTTCATTAAACATTAAGGACAGAAAAAGAAAGAAGCTCAATACTTATAGGTCTGATCTTTTAATTTTTGTTGGTGATTTAATTAATAAAGATTTGAAATGTATTTATGGTTTTACATTAATTTGATTTAAAATTTATTTATAATTATATATTTATTACTATGGTATGAATATAATATAGTATGATAAATAATGATTAGTTAATTTATTAACAGTGTCTTTAAAATAATTTAGAGCGAATTTGTGGTTTATCCTCCTCCGCCTAATTGCCATATAGAGACCATATTACCATGGCCCGCAAAGACAAGTTCGGCTCCTCAAGGAGCGTCATAACCTGCTCTACGGACCAAAAGTAAGTGAATTTGGGAAGAACGAAGATATGTTAGAGTGAAAGTTAGAAAGATAGCATAGAGAAGGCGGACAGGATTGCACTCGATATTAGTAGGTGCTATATATAAAGGGTCGCAATGCAAATGAAATATTTGTACGGTATTTGTATGTTACTTTACTTAAATATTAAAAAAATATATTCCTCGCATAAGTGCGAGGCCTTGCAAAAACTAGCATAAGTGCGAAGTGGCATAAGTGCGTAGTATGATAAGTTGCGTTATGCCAATATTTGCAATTTTATTCGGTGCACTTATGCAAGTTCGCACTTATCACATTTTGCACTTATGCCAATGTTTCCAAATTCGTTTGGTTCACTTATGCCAATTTGAACTTATGCCAGTTTGCTCTTGTGCCAGTTTTTGTAACTGCTTTGCACTTATGCCAGTTCGCACTTATGCCAATTCGCATATATGCCAGTTCGTACTCACGCCATTCGCTCTTATGAAATTCGCACTTATTCAGTCGTCTGCTTTAATTAGAAAATACTCCGTTTCATTAATAAGGATAAAAAGCTCGATTTAATTTCAAATGTCTTGACATCGCTAAATATCGTGACTCTCTGTAAAGTCTAAAAAGAAGAAAATTAAATATAAAAATATCACTTGCTAAAAAATTCAATATTTTATAATCTTTTCTTTCACTCATGTAATTGTTTTCCTTAACTTTTGTTGTCGTCCATGACGCTCAAAAAACATTTTATATAGAAATTTTCTACTAATTTGCTTGCCGGTTTGTTTATAGTAGTAGTGATTAATAATTAACAAATCTTTTTATTTTTAAAATCGACTAAAATTGCTTGTGGGTTTGTATTTCTTTTTAAATCTTTTTTTAAATACTTAATTAAAAAAAAAAATTTTTTTATAAAATTGAACTTACAATATTATGTTTTTTGTTTTTGTTTTTTTATATTAATATTAAACTTTGTTTAATATTAATATAAGAAATATACTACATCTGTGGAAGGATGCGGGTTGCAATGCAAATGAAATATTTGTACTTTATGTTATTTTGTTTTTATATAAAAAAAATTTTATCTTTTCGAAGAAAAATATTCCGCTCCTTTAATCAGCAAATACCACGTTTCTTTAGGATAAAAAGCTCGACTTATTTACACATGTCTAGATAAACGCATTGCTAAATATTGCAACTCTCTGTAAAGACTAAAAAGTAGAAAATAAAAGATTTATATTACTTTTCAGGTCTGTATCCAGCATTATTTGGTCTTCGAGATATCTAACTTCCAGACATGGAGCAAATTCCAAACATTTATATGTTTATACTAATGTCAAATAAGGATGCTTTGCAAAAAATTGCGATGGTTAGAGTTTGGGAACAAAAAAGCCCCAAAATTTGTGCTCCCCCTGCCCCAAACTTGAGAGTAACAAATTGATGAAATCTTTTTTGTACTATTTTTAACTAGACTTATATTTATCGATAAATTTTGAGTTTCATAGTATTATCTCTCAGTGTTCAAAAATTATAACAATATAAAATTTGCAACCCCCTCAAATTGAGGGGGGTTTAAACTTTATATAGTCATAATTTTTGAACGCTGAAATATTTTACTATGAAATTTAAAATTTATCGATATATATAATTATAGTTAAAAATAATACAAAAAATATTTCATCAAGTTGTTGCTCTCACGTTTGGGGCAGGGGGAGCACAAATTTTGGGGCTATTTTGTACCCAAGCTCCAATTATCGCAACTTTTTGCAAAGCATCCTTTTTTGACATAAATATAAACATATAAATGTTTGGAGTTTGCTCCATGTCTGGAAGTTAGATATCTCGAAGACCAAAAAATGCTGGATACGGACCTGCTCTTAATTAATTTGTTATCTTATTATATTTTTATAATTATTATTATATTTGTTTTTATTGTTGTTGTTATTATTATTGTATTACTATTTTTATTTTTATTACTATTGAAATAATCATTATAAATGGAAAATAAATAGCTTGTTGTTGTTGTTGTTGTTCTACAAAGCGAGATGTCACTATGTTAATGTACTTTGAAAGAAATAGTTTACGTGATGAGTTCGAAAACTTTAAAAAAAATGGATGCTATATAATTTAATTTATTTGTAAAAAATTTGAAATCAATGATAAATCACTGTGAAGAAAAATTTTATTTAGTTAAAAAAGAAAAAAATATATCTGTTATTTAATATGAACATTGTGGACCAGTACCTAAGTTTTCAATATATATAACTTTAGATGATTCTGGAAATATTTATTTTACTGTATTTAGCCGATTTTTACAAATTAGACTGTCTTTTTTTAACAAGGGAATCATTAAATATAATTCTCGACTTGAGAATGCAGTTAGTTATGAGTAAATTCAAAATTAAGAGTGAAAAAGTTAACCATGGATACTGCTATTGCTTAGCAAAAACTTTTAAAAGATTTGCAAACTGTGCCAAGTATTTGTTGAATTGTGGTGTATCTTATATATTGTTAAGACACGCAATCAGATGCACTTGAAAAACGATTGGGGAAATATTAGCAAAGGTCAGGTGGCACATATCTGACAACTGTGCAAAATGTTATTCAAAAATTTAAAATTGATAAAACTAGAAAGTTGCGAGACGAACAAGCAGGTTTTACAATATTTTCTTCTGCTCACCACCACTGTGATGAGTGTGAACTTGATGTTGAATTTGATATGTCAATACGTGAAAATTGTAAAGATCAGTTGCCAAATGAATGCAAACAAGAGCTTTATATATTGCAATTTTTATTGCTTTCAAACTTCCAGAATTACATTTTATACAATTTTATTACAATTTTAGAGGAAATAGAAACCTTTTGATAGGTTTCAAAAATATGGAACTTTGATAGTTCTTTTAACAGGAGAAGACTAAGAAACCTTTTGACAATTTAGTTTGCTTTGTTATTTATTGTTTTTTAATATTTGATGTGGCGTGAATTTTTATTAACTGAAATAGTTAATAAAAATAGTAATATTATTAATAGTAAATTTCAATTGCTTTTTTGAAGTATTGAAGAAAATTTGCTGCATTTTGACGAACATTTTTTGAAATAATTACTGTAAAAAACACTCTGATGGTTTTGGGAAGGAATGTTTAAATAAACAAGCAAAACTTTTAGTTTCAAAATAAAATACTTTGAGTCAAAAAAGTCAAAATAATTTTTTTTTAAAATTAATATACTTGTTTTTTTTTATCAAAAAATTTATTATTTGTATTACACGTGTTAAACAGGTAAAATAAAGATAAAATTATAAAAGTGAGATTTGGTCATTTTTAACTCAGTAAACTCTTTAAATCTTTGCTGTAATTAACTTATTTTTAAACGTAAAAATAATTCCAACAATATTTTCTCCCAAAATTAAATCAAAATGTTTTGTCTTAAAGAAGTTCTTTATTTTTTTCGAAAGTTTGTTTACACATGCAAAGATAAAAAATAATTTTAACCGTAAAAAAGTCGGCCTTCGCTAATTTTACGGGAAATGAGCTGTCGCGGCTTGTTTAAGAAGGCCTAGATTTTTATTAATCTTTATTCCAGAAAGCTTTTTTTTTTTTTACCAACTTGTTATTTTATTTTAATTAACTTTATTTTATAAATAATTTTGCACAGATCTTTCTGACCATTATACTACTTCCTTATTAACAACACTGAAGGTTTAACATTTATTCGCTTCATTTTATGGTATGAATTCATCTGTATCATTCGTAATTTTAATTAATTATTAACCATGCAAATAACAAAGTCTCACTAACTTTTTTAAAACGAATCATTCCATTCCGTATTATATATATATATATATATATATATATATATATATATATATATATATATATATATATATATATATATATATATATATATATATATATATATATATATATATATATATATATATATATATATATATATATATATATATATATATATATATATATATATATATATATTTTTAGTCCAGATTATAATCTCTATAATTATGCAAATTGCTTCTACGTGTAATTATTTATGTATGAATTATGTAAATTGCTTTTTATGTTTTTATTTACTTTCTGCTAATAAACTAAAATTTTTTGCTTTTTTTAAACTTAAATTCTTAATTTTATATTTATTAATACTATTTTTTTTATCTTGATAATTAAAAACCATGTTTTATATACTTTTGAAAGTTCTTCTTTGCTTTTCTTTATTATTATAATTTTCGATTTTTTTAGTTTTTACGCATCATGTATATAGCTCATATATGTATGTTTATATTCCATTAGTAAATATGCAGTTAAGTTTAGAACTATTGTATTTGTAATGAAAACAATAACAGTAACAATAACTATTGTTATTGTATTAACTTAATTTAGAAACAATAACAATACTTGTGATTTACAATTATTGTAATACTGTAATATAATAACAATAAATATTGTATTGCAATTCATCTTTATAAAACAATAACAATATCTGAAAAAAAAAATGTATTGTAATGACCCACTACAATAACAATAAATATTGTATTGTAATCCATCTTTATTATACAATAACAATATATTGTTATTATATTAAAAAAAATAATATCAGTGTCAAAATTTAATAAATATTTTAACAATCCAGTCTCCGAGATAAGTGACCTTGAAATAGGGTACAACTAATATATAAGTATTGATTCTGTTTCTTTTTTATTTTTTGAATATCACTTGTCCTCATTGCAAACTTTATATAGGTCTACAAAAGTGAGTTTAATCGGGCCTGTATTTATTTTACTGCTGGGGATAGACATGATTAATTACTACCATTTCTTCCACTAAGTTATTTGCTTCTACATTTGGCACCTATCTAATTGTTTCGAAACTTACTTAACTCACACTTACTCTAATATTACTTTTTTTTTCCTTCGGGTTTATGGCTGTATGTGTTTCATAAAGTAACAGGACATCTAGTTGCAAAGTTATAAAAGAGTTTTGTTATATAAATCAAGAACAATATTTATTTGGTGTTCTAAACTGCCTCATTTTTCAAAAATGATCCAGACAAAATTTACTGGTAAGGTCTGATAGGTGATGAGCAATCTGAAAATGTAAAATTTTTTTTTACAAAACAAAAGTAGTTCACATTTTTAAACAATCTAATCGATAATTACCCAGGGCAATCGTTCTCTGATTCAATAACGATGTAATAGATTAAACATTAGCGGTTAGATATATTAAAAAAAAATTATTTCCACGCGCTTAATGTAGTTAATCAATTAGTTTAGACGTCATCATCTGGTGAAGCATGTCAATATCAGTTTAGACAAAATTACAAAAATATATAAATTTTCACTTCTTTGAGAAATAATTAAAAATTACAAGCAAATAATAAATTATATATATTTGTATGAATTTGATTATTATTTTAATGTTAATTCAAAATAAAATATTATTTAAACTGTTATATTATTGAACTCAAAATAAATAAAATTTATATATTTAAATGGTTGCTAGAAACGGGTGCCACGTGCGCCCCTGAACCTAATATTTATTAAGTATACGTAATATATATACTTCTTTGGCTTTCCTGGCTTCACTTCACTTCTCAAAATAAATAAAATTTATACATATGAATGCTGAAAACGAACGTCACGGGCATCGCTAAATTATCTAGTGCCCAAATAATAATACAGGGTCGTCCACAGTTATTTTCGTCGCGTCCATAATTATTTTTGTCACGTCCATAAATATTTTCGTCGCGTCCATAAATATTTTTGTCGCGTCCATAATTAATTTCGTCACGTCCATAATTATTTTCGTCGCGTCCACAGTTATTTTCGCCGCGTCCATAATTATTTTCATATTTCAACAATATAATTTCTCAAAATATTATCTTAAAAAAATATTACAAAAGAATTTTTTAAATAAGCATTAATTGCTTAAACTACAAGTTCTAAAGTAGAATAAAGTTTAAATATTTTAAAGAATAAAAATAACAAGTTATGACAGATTCAAATACATATAATCAAGAATCAAATTTTAATGAAATAGTTGAGTTAGAGAGGCAAATCAATGGTCGTGCTTGTTATAAGAAAGGAACTATTGAAAGCATTGAAACAATAAAGATGATGGTAGCTAATAAAGAAAAAAACGTTGATATTTCACAAGCTACTGGGCTTTCTTTAAGAACAGTCCAAAATTGGGTAATGAAACTTTCAAATAATCCCGATGCTAAACCAAAAAAACGTGGACCTGTTGCGAAGAGTAATACTGAAGTAATACTACGTAGAAGAGAAATTGAACTGTTTGTATCGGCAAATAATTCCTTTACAGCGATGGATATGGGTGAATTAATATCCGAAGAAAATAAATGCTCCACAACAACTATAAAGAGAGAATTAAAAAATATGGGTTATACTAGAAAGAGATTAAAGCCAATTGTGGCTGCAAGAAACTCAGCGATGGTTATAGGACAGAGATTTCTATATTGTACTCATGTTTTTTCTATTAATGATAATGATATAATTTTTATTGATGAAACCGGTTTTAACCTTTATCAATCAAGACATCATGGATATGCATTAAGTGGGAGTACACCTTATATCACTGTACCAACACAAAGGGGAAGAAATATAAGCCTTATATGTGCTATTTCCGTAGAAGGTATTATATCATTTCAAATGAAAGTAGGATCTTTTGATGCTGTCAGTACGAAAGAATGGATTGAAAATTCATTGATTCCAGCCCTAAATAATCGAAGGTATGTTATCATTATGGGTAATGCTCGATTTCATCATTCAGCTATTGTAACTTCTGCAATTCAAAATGGAATGTGTGTTGTTCACTTTCTCCCACCCTATAGTCCGCAACTTAATCCCATTGAAGAGCTTTTTGGGGTAATAAAAAATAGATACAATAGAATTATTCCAAGACCAGCAACAACGGGGGATATGGAAATGGAAATATCAAATATTCTTTTAACATCACGTAATGAATCACTACAAGGATTTTATACACATATGCGTGAATGGGCAGTAGGAGGAATCCAACGGAATAAATTCATTTAAACGAAATTTACCGACTATCTCATATCTTTATTTACATCTTTGCATTTACATCTTTGTATTTATATCTTTATTTACTTATTTGTATTTTTTCACATTCAAACTGTAAAATTTTTATTAAAATAGTATACGTATATTTTATCCAAAAACGTGTTTTGAGTGAATCTAAACCTATAACACTTTTTAAATTAAACTGATAGATTTGTTTCATTTTTTAAGCCATAAAAAAATCTTTTATAATATCAAATAATTTTAAACGTGACGAAAATAATTATGGACGCGGCGAAAATAACTGTGGACGCGAGGAAAATAATTATGGACGTGACGAAAATAATTATGGACGCGACGAAAATATTTATGGACGTAACGAAAATAATTATGGACGCGACGAAAATAACTGTGGACGACCCTGTAAATGCGTGAAAAAAAATCTAAATACTATAAAATACACCACAGTACTTATTGTAATTGTTTTTATCCCATCAATACAATACAATAGTTATTGTAATTGTTTTGCATCTCAGCAATACAATACAATAGTTTTAGAGCTTCAATGTATTGTTAGAAAAAAAAAAAACAATACAATAACCATAAACAATGTTTTAATTGCATCTCTGGTATTACAATACAATATTATTGTATTGTAATTGTTATTGTATCTAATTTTTACAATAACAATAACAATAATCCTAACCCTATATGCAGTAAACTCCGGATAACTCGAACTTTTAAGGGACGAAGAAAATGTTTCGACATATTTGAATATATGAGTTGTTAAGTGATATTGATAAAAATATGTGTTCAACGGGAAAATAAAAAATTCTTGAAGTTACGAAAGTTCGAACTATCGAGGGTTCGAGTTTACTCTATATTATTTAAGGAATGCTAGAGGATTGATCATATACAAATATATATCTGTTTGCCCCAACCATTTCTATATTTTATAAATTACCATTTATAATTATTTATAAATATATTCTAGTCAATTTTGGTCTAAAAATGGGCTAACCTGGACAAAATTTGGATATAAATGAATTTGGTATCATTTGAAGCATAATTTTATCAACTTTAATATATCCAAAATCCACCAAAGTTCAATTTGGGCAAAAAAAAAGTTATAACTATTATTGCTGACCTGACTTTTTAGATTAAAAAAAATAAATAAAATAAACCCGTACTACTTGCTTTTAATAAGTTGTGATAATACAGCGAAAAATGACGCGATTCATATAATATTTTGAAAAAATATAGTTTAAAGTTTACAAATTATAAAAATGTAATTTAGCATGCAATGCTGGTATTAAAGTAAAAAATAGCATTTTTTACTTTAATACCAGCATTGCATGCTCAAAATGCATCAATTTCGGAAAACGAAGGCCTTTTTTTTTTTTTTAAAAAAAAAAAAAAAGGCCCTCGTTTTCCAAAATTTGCCGACTGCCATGACGACATTTGCCGACTGTCTAGATCACCGACTAACCTATATCGAAAGGGTCCAATTTGCCAACTAAGGGTCCAATTTGCCGACTAAAAAACATAGATGGGGGTACCCCCCATCAATGACTAAAAATCATTGATGACTAAAAAGGACTAAAATCATTAATGTTGGGGGTCCCCCCCCCCCCCCCCGCACCCTCCTTTCGCACCGGCATTGGCCGTATGTCGATGTTGTTAAATATTATTTTTAAATTTCATGTTTTAATTTCAGATATATTGTTAAATATATTTTAAATTAAAATATACACTGTTGAACACATTAAAAGAAACTGCTTTGCTTTGCAAAGATGAACAAAGTGACCTTCCTAATCAAACGATAAATGTTGGAAGGAAAGGTATTAAAACCTTAATTCATTATTCACAAGTACGTAACAATAAAGACCTTGAAGAAGAACTTAAGAAAAGGAACACGGTTGTTATCCATGTGGCATGCAGGCGTGATTTTACAAATCCAAAAAGAAAAGTATGAAAATGTCAAATGGAAAGCCCTAAAATTAAAAAATTGCGTTCAGTAAGATATTTTTGTATTTACTCAATCTTGTGTTGTCACTGATCCATACAATTAACTATATTTTTATATGTAGGAGTTACTTTGTTCACTTACGTTCTTTTGGCTGTTTTTTATAAATTTATTGTGCGGTCTCATCATAACGACATCTCACTTGCTTAAAAAAAGCAAAACACTAGCTTAACATTTTTTTTTTTTGTAAACAAATTTATTTTTAACTTAGACCGACATATTCAATCGGAAGCAATGCTGCTTCATTTGTGGTAACCTAGCATTACCCGATTCTAAACATCGTGATCGTAAAGCCGTAATGCAGTTGCGTACAATAAAATTTAAACAAAGTCTCCTTAAGGTTTGTGAAGACAGAAAAGATATATGGGCAGTTGAAGTAAAATCTCGTTTGAATTACTGTTGATAAAGTAATTTGTAGTTTTTCCATAATAAAGTAACAAATTGACCGATTCTGACCGAGTTTTGAATTTTTATATTCGTTATGTGTATTTTTATGTTTCATATGCTAATCTAGAAAGTCCTAATATATTTACAGGTCAAATTTGATTGAAACAGAAAAGTCTGGTCGCAAAGAAAATTCAGCAAAGGCGGAACACTTTATAAGGCTTTGTGATTGGTTTAAGAGTCAAATGGCTCCTGTCATAACTACTGAATTGCACATTAAAATGGAAGAGCTAGCGAATTAAAAGATATTTATTCAATGAAGCACTTAAAGAGAAAATTAGAAGAAAAATACAAAGACGACATAATTATTAGCCAAACTGAAGGAAAATCTAATTTAGTATGCTTTAAAGATGCAACTACATTTATTATTAACAAATGTAAGGCGGAGAACATAGATACAAACAAAGGTGAAGTTATCGTTAGAACCGCAGCTAAGTTGAGAAAGACAGAAACTTTAAATCTTAAGTTCAGCTCAGAGAATTATCCAACTAAATACGATATTGAGCATTATGAAGAAAGTTTAAGCCCATTGCTTTGCCTCTTTATGAAACAAATTACATCTGACGAACTAAAACAATCTTCCATTGGTCAAACTATAACAAAAGCTATTCGATCAAGGTTTTACGTCCCACCTTTGCTTTTTAGTTTAGGAATAGAACGAGATCACAAGTTTGCATCAAAATGGTTGACTAATGAGCTATTTAAACTAGGCTTTTGCATAAGTCCATCAGAAATAACACGCTTTAAACACTCTGTTATGGCTAACGACGATAACATTGTTGAAGGAGTGCTGAATGGATTATTTACTAAGTGGGTAGCAGACAATGTTGATCATAATACCTGCACATTAGATGGTAAAGACACTTTTCATGGGATGTGAATCATCGCTGCTGGAATTATGAACTCTAAAGTTTTAGATAATCTTCATCGAATTAAAAGAATAAGATATGGTTTAAAAGCAGCAGAAATAAATTCTAAAATAAATATTCCGATTTTGTGGTATGACGTTCCTGACACAGCAGCATTAACAAAGATATTGTTCAAGCCCATTGTTGAGCTTCAGTCGCCACAGACTTTTTCACTGTCTCTTGGTATTGATCTTTTCTTGTAAAGCTCGTTCACTTCAACGTCTTGGTATTGATCTTTTCTGGTAAAGCTCGTTCACTTCAACGGCTGGTGAGAACCGGGCAAAATGGAGTGGGTTTATGCAACTTCATCATAATGGTAAATGTCATCCCTGAAAAATTGAGGTATTCATGGCGCCTATCATTAACTTAAACCCTTCGGATGAAAACTGCATTTATTCTACTCTAGTTTTTATACAAAATCAAGCAAAATTAATGAATTTATCTACTTTAAGTGTAACCTTTGATCAGTCTTTATGGTTAAAAGCTTACAAAATTGCACAGTGTAAGCAATTAGATATAGTTATTCAATTGGGAGGATTCTACATCTTAATAAGCTTCCTAGGAAGTATTAGTATGATCATGGAGGGATCAGGACTAAATAAATTACTCGAACTTATTTATGCAAGCAACTCTGTCACGCATATAATGACTGGTAAAGCAGTAGCTCGAGCAAGAAGCTCACTTCTTAGTTGAGTCTGCCTTAATGAGCCTACTTTTTCAACAAAGCCTTAAAGATGAAGCTGATAGTTCTCTAGAAAATATGTATCAGGATCTGGTCCAAGGAAACATGGATTTGGAAGGGATAAACAATAGCTGTGTAGTTATAAGATTAACAAATCTTATTGAAAATTCAAAAATACAGCTTTCAAGTTCATCCAGAACAGCAAAGCTATGGTTACAATATCTTGAATACATAAGCATTATCAAAATGTTCATCAGAGCAGATAGAACTGGGAACTGGCACAAACATTTGGAAGCCATCAGGCTTATGCTTAACTTATTTGCCGCAACAGGGCATATAAACTATGCTAAAAGTGCTTGGTTATATCTACAATTCATCCACTCACTTAATTCAGAACATCCTTGGCTTTATGAGCAGTACTGTAAATCAGGTTACCATTGTATTAGACGCACAGATCAATACTGGGCTGGTCTCTGGCCTGATTTAGTTATTAAACAGTGCATGATGAGATCAATAAAAAGCCGTGGAGGCTTAACGAGAGGAAGGGGTATGTCAGAGACTGCAAGAACACTTTGGGTCAGTACTTTACACGAATGCGGAGCAATCCTTGATTCCATGTTAACAATGACAAAGCATCGTTTTGAGAGCAGTCAGCAACATTGTGAGTCTGGTGAGTCTCGGCGAAAAAGAGATACTAAAGATTTCAAAGTTTTAAAGGAGAAGCTTTAACCCTTTCGAATTTCAAGACTCAGGACTTCAATGTATATCTACTGGCCTATGTGCTGATAAGGATGAGGAAATCAATTGTGAACAAGTAGAAAATGTGGGTTTAGAGATTCAAAACAGTCTTAATAATATTGCAGTCGATCAAGCAATTATCAAGCAATCAAAGCAGGTCAAAACAATTGCCAAGTTGATGCCATCTGTTAAAGTTAATGGCGATGCAGTCCACGTAGATCCTAATGTTTTGTTCCAAAGACTAATCATGCTAATTGAGAGGGTTGAAGATTTGATTGATTCGTTGAGAGGGTTGAAGCTTTGAACTGCTTCGAATATGAATTAACACCGGAGCCAACATTTCTCTTCAAAGATGGATTAATGAAGAAATCAAACATAGCAAAACTTGGTAGAGAACTTATCGAGGATTCCACAATTTTAACAGAGAATAATGACACAACCTATATTCTTGACGGCGGAGCTTTGCTGCATCGAGTTTTTTGGAGTCTCACAGCTTCATATTTAAACATTATTGAACAATATTGTACATATATAACAAAAAAGTATAGTAATCATACTTTAATTATTTTTGACGGTTGTAAATTATCCATCAAAGATCAAGAACATCAAAGGAGAGGGAAAAAGTTTGTCAACATTATATTCCAAACAAAAAACCAATTAAACTACAAACAATCTGAATTTCTGTCAAACAGCAATAATAAAACTGCTTTGATCAAAGCATTGGGAATGAAGCTAAGAGAAAAAGGGCATATAGTAGTAGAATGCGAAGGAGATGCTAACAGAATCATTGCTACAAAAAGAGTCAAGCTTGTACAAAATGAAAAATGTGTGACTATCATAGCTGATGATACAGACATTCTTGTAATGTTGGTTCATATGTGGGATTAAACAATGTGTGAGATTTTTTTCCGCCGCAAATCTAAAAAAAGTATGAAAAAAAATATGGAAACAATCAGCATAAAGAATGTTACACTATGTTTATCATATCACGTGAAAAAATGTTTGTTGTTTATCCATGCATGGAGTGGATGTGATACTACTTCTGCGCTTTTTGGTCAAGGAAAGATAGCTGTAATGAAGTTTATTGAATCAAATAGTGAGTTTGCTAAATCTTTATGTACAGTGTTCCAAGATCCCTTTGCAACACAAGATCAGGTAGCTAATGTTGGAATACAAGTGGTTTTAAACATGTATGGTATGCAAGGCAATGATCTTTTTTTTTATTATTTATTTACAATATTGTTTATTTTATAACTATACGTCCATGTTGTTTTGGAGAGGTTAAATTTAGCTCAAAAATTACTATAGGTGAAAAAAATAAACAAGTTTGGCTAGCACAACTTAGGAAACAAAAATATATGAGAATGATGGCGACTTCCAAAAAAGGAATTCAGCCAGAACGACTACCACCAACCGAAAGCGCGATCAAGTATCATTCATTTTGAGTATATTTACAAATTCAGCAATGGTTAGGAGTTAATATGGATGAAACAAAATGGGGATGGAGAAGGGAAAATAACGTTTTAGTACCTATAAAGACAGACAAGGTACGTATACTGAAGCAGCAAAATAAACCACAAATGCTGATTTTACTTTTAAAACGATTTCTTGAAAATACTCATTTTTCAATAAACAATTTAAGTTTAATCAAGCTCACAAAAATAGTTTTAATTACCTTTTTAACTTGAGTATTTTTTTATTCAGGATCATGCACCAATTCACATACTTAATATCATAAGATGTAACTGTGCCACTAATACAAAAACACCATGTGGAAAACAATGCCAATGTCGACGACATGGAATAAATTGCATGACAGCCTGCAGACAGTGGCAAGGTTTGGAGTGCACAAATGCACCAAAAAATAACGTAAATATAGATGACAGCGAAAATGAATACGAAAGTAGTGAAGATGGAGATGGAAACATTTTTGAAAAAATGTTTGACTTTTGATTTTTTTTTTTTTTTTTTTTTTTTGTTTTGTATGTATTTAGGTGCTCCCAGAAGTCCTTACGGTCTTATCATAGAGCACCGCGGGAAAGCATTTAACAGGAGGTTCACGCCTCCTTCCGTACCGATGTCGCTTGTTGTGCTAGAGCTGGCTTCGAACCCCGGACCTCTGGGTTCTGAGCCAGAACTCTAACCACTGCGCCACGGCTGCTCATTTCAAAATATAATAATCGAGAGTAAAAAGCACTAATATTTAAACCTTAAATAAAAAATTATTCAAAAGTAGTTAAAAATATATTTATTATGAAAGAAAATAGTTCAAAAATGCTTGTTTTTTTAGATAATTATACTTATAAACAAGTTTTTTTCAAAATCTCTATTTCAACTATTTATCTAATAAATTTTTAAGTAAAGGTTTTAATATATAATAAGTAATGGCCAAATCAGAAAGTATTGTGAAAAAAACTGCTGACACCAGCATTTAAGAACATGATTTCTGAAGCACATTTCTTTTTTTATAAATTTTTACGTATCAGGCTATATCTGCACAAAATTTCATAAAGATTAAGCAACTTTATAATGAGTTATTACAACTTGCAACCGTGGCGCATCGGTTAGTGCAGCCGTGGCGCATCGGTTAAAGCGCCTGCTTTATAAGCAGGAGGTCCAGGTTTGAAACGAGCTCTGGGCATACTTTAGCGTCACGGTAAGGAAGGAGGCATGAACGTCCTGGTTAAATGCACTTCCACAGTGCTCTGTGACAAGACTGTTAAGTCTTCTTGGAGCACCTAAAAATAATTAAAAAAAACAAAACTTATTGACAATAGACGCGACAGTTTTTATTTGCATTTTCAATAAATTTGAATAAAAGTGAGTTGAGCTAAAGTAATCATATCTTTTTTTGCCCAAAATCGATTTGGTGGATTTTGAATATGTTAAAGTACAAAAAATTACGCTTCGAATGATACCAAATTCATTTTTATCCAAATTTTGTCTAGGTTGGACCCTATGTTGATTAGACTTATATTTATAAATAAATTAGTAAACAAAAAATAAAAAGTTATAGAAGCTTTTAAAAAGCATTTGCTACTCATTTATAGTTGCAAAAGCTTACGTAATATTGTTTGAATAATTATAACAATAGGCCGGGTGAATAAAAATGAGCAATTGCTTTTACTCAGTGTTTGGTCAGCTTTACGTGAGTAAAAACATTAGGAGTTTTGCTCAAATTTTTTTTCACGTAAAGTTAAGCAATTTACTTGGTAATTGTTCGGTTTTACGTAAATAAAAACTTAGAAAAAATTGGTTTAGCTTTTATTCACGTAAAGCTGACCAATTACGGAGTAAAAGCTCGTTTCAGTTCACCCGGCCTAATAGCTTTACACTAAAATATTAAAAAAAGATGTAACCTAGGTCACTAGGCTCACGCCACATCGTTACTCCAGGAGATTAAAGCTGGTAATTTCTATAAACTAAACCTCGTTCAAACATTAAAATTTATGTTTAAATATCAAATTTGCATGCTTTGCAAATTTTTCAAAGTTTAATTTTTTTTTTCAATTTTTTCTTAATATTGGGAGTGTGCATTGAAAATGAACGTTTTGTATTAAGATTTTGTAATTCGGCAGGTATACATCCGATCTGGCTGAAATAAATTTTACCTGAAAACCCTAGGTTAAAAATAAGCCTAGGGTTTTAGCATTTAGGTAAAATCATCGATTAATCTAGTTTTTTAGGCGCTAAAAACAACTGAAAATGATTCAAAAGCAAGGAAATTGGGTGCCATATGAGTTAAAACCAAGAGGCATCGAAAGAAAAATTTTTTTACCTGCAAACAACTGTTTGCGCGACTAAAAAGAAAAAAAAAAGTTTTTCTGCATTGAGTTGTTACTGGTGATTAAAAGTGGATACGTTACAACAACCCCAAACCCAGAAAAGCAAGGGTCAAGCCCGTTGAGCTATCAACATTGACAGTGAAACCGACTATTCGCGGTTCCAAGTTCATGCTCTGTATCTGGTGGGACCAGCTCGGAGTAATATATTATTAAACCAAAAAAACAAACCAAACGAGACCAATTACAGCAGATTGTTACCAACGACAATTGATCAAGCAGAGCCGAGAACTGAATAAATAAATAAGAATAAAATGTCGCAATACGCCGAAAGACATTACAAACATTACCCCATGTTGCAAATGTTGTATAAAACTACCTGGAAAATCTCAAATGAGAAGTCTTATTACAAAAAATTACCCCATGTTGCAAATGTTGTATAAAACTACCTGGAAAATGGGTCGATGACTGGATTGCCTCAAAAGACCAAGACCTATTCCAGCGTGGAATCCGCATGCTACCTGAACAATGTCGAAGATGAGAAAATCGTAGCTGCCAATGGACATTATTTTGAATGATCTAAGTCTGATAGTCTTCTCAAAATAAACATTTGATTATTATAAAAAAGCGCTTTTAATGCATACTTCCCATATTTCAGTGTGGAATCCGCATGCTACCTGAAATCGAAGATGAGAAAATCGTAGCTGCCAATGGACATTATTTTGAATGATCAAGCCTGATAGTCTTCTCAAAATAAACATTTGATTATTATAAAAAAGCGCTTTTAATGCATACTTCTCATATTTCAAATATCATTTCATAAATTTTCAATGATTAATAACAAATACAAACAAGATGCTTCATTTAAAATTATCCAAAACAACTTTAAAAAAGTAGATTTCTCAAAATGAGAACCTCCATAAAAAAAAAGCTCAATATTTATTAAAATAAAACGAATAAATAATAAGAAACAAATATTTAGCAAAAAATAACCTAAGGGATCGTCCGTAAATAACGCAACGCGAACATTATTTAATAAATAGAAGTTGGAGATCATTTGTTCTTATGCGCAGCGATTTTCACTGAACTTATGTAACTAATTTGACCTTTGGTTTAAGTAAGGATTTGCGAGGGAAAACTTTTGATCTTATTTGCTTTGTTTATTAGTTAAAATTAGCGTTGCGTAATTTATGGACAATCCCTAAGACACATACAAATAACAATAAGGATTATTTCTATCAATAAACAGAAATGTATTTTTAAAATCAAAAACACATTTCTACAAAAATCTTTTAAAAATAAAAGAGAAATATTTATAACCACAGTTTAACTTCTAAATGTTTCTAATTTCAATGAACGTTTACAACTGCGAAGTTCTGAAGAAATTTTTTTAAGATTATGACAGTGATTCACTAAGAAAGATCAATAGTGCATTACTCTTTTGATTATTCCACATGCAATTCTTGGCCCTGCATTTCCTGTTTTTTTGCTTTCTTCGTTATCTGCTTTCCCCAAATCATCTTCATTAAGGTGAACAACTAAAGTTCTTCCAATTACGCTATAATTGCCAAATAGATTTACAACTGTATCTTTTAAAGAAAGTTGCACCACTCCATCTTTACCAACATCTATATTACCCAAATCTCCTATGTGTCGAACCTTATCCATATTCCCACCATGATTAACCATTAAAGGATTATAGTGCGCACCTGCATCTTTGCAGCCATCTGATAGTTTACCAAATTCATGGATATGAAAACCATGCTTACCAGGTGAGACTCCTGAGATGTAGCCTTAAAAAAAGTTTAACATTATATATATATATATATATATATATATATATATATATATATATATATATATATATATATATATATATATATATATATATATATATATATATATATATATATATATATATATATATATATATATATATATATATATATAGATATATATAGATATATATATATAGATATATAAATAGATATATATAGATATAGATATAGATATAGATATATATATATATATATATATATATATATATATATATATATATATATATATATATATATATATATATATATATATATATATATATATATATATATATATATATATATAGATATATAAATAGATATATATAGATATAGATATATATATATATATATATATAGATAATATATATATATATATATATATATATATATATATATATATATATATATATATATATATATATATATATATATATATATATATATATATATATATATATATATATATATATATATATATATATATATATATATATATATATAGATATATAGATATATATATATATATATCAAGGAGGTATAGTAGAATGGAGGGAAAACAAAGCCAAAAATCGTTTAAAATTGTAGTACAGTCTTTGTTGTATAATTATTAAAATGGCAATATCTAGGTTGCAATTACAATATCAAAGTTTTATATCTTTACTTTGCAATCCTTCGATTGCTTATAATGTTTTAAAACAATATCATTGTTTTGGATAAGTTTTGTTAATAGTAAAATGTGATTGGTTAACTTTAAATTATGATAATTATTCTGTATTTAAGCAAAAATGATGTTACTACTAAGACTGTACCTTGAGAAATGACATATTTTTAACGCAAATTTATTAAAATTATATATAAATATGTAATAACGTAATTTATGTAAGTTTAAAGTTATGTAAATGTAAAAAATTATTTAATATAAATTATTTAATATAACGTTTTAAAAAAAACTTTTTTCATTAATATATGATGTTAAATTTACATATATTAGATAATTACATATTTATATATAACTTTAATAAATTTGTGATACGACAATTGCATCCCGAGCCGACGAAATATATATACAGTAGAATTTTTTTAATTCCAATTTTAGGGGAAAAACAAAAGTTTGAATTAAAGAAATTTTCGAATTATAGAAAGTGGATTTTTTCTTAAGCGTTTTTCGCAGTGACTTTGCATTTAATCGAATTATGGAGGTTTTCGAATTAGAGAGATTTTACTGTGTGTATATATATCTATATATATATCTATATCTATCTATCTATCTATCTATCTATCTATCTATATATATATATATATATATATATATATATATATATATATATATATATATATATATATATATATATATATATATATATATATATATATATATATATATATATATCTATATCTATATCTATATCTATATCTATATCTATATCTATATCTATATCTATATATATATATATATATATATATATATATATATATATATATATATATATATATATATATATATATATATATATATATATATATATATATATATATATATATATATATATATATATGTATATATATATATAGATATAGATATATATATTAATTTATTTATTAGAGTATCCAAGTCGCCCCAACATTTTGTAAAATTGCTGTTCAAAATTTTGCAACTGGGTATATACACCAGAAATAATATGTGTTTTTATGATATTTAAAAAATTGAGTCTGCATAAAATCCCTAATATCGTTTTTACATATCGATCATTATGTCTAGTTTCCATTATGGTACATTTATATTATATACTAATCATTAATAATCATAAAAATAATCAAAGTTAGTTAAACAACAATACTAAACAAAGATAAAATAAACATTTATAAGATTTTATCATGAAAAAATGTCTATTGTTCAAATTTGTATCAGTTTTCTTGTTGCTTGTGTTAACTCATATGTGATCAGATTGCAGAAAAAAATTAATAGCCATTGTTTTTTTACCAAAAATTTGAACAGCTGTCCACTATCAAATTTTGATTTAGAGGAAGGGGGGGAGGGGTGAGACAACCTAATATATATATATATATATATATATATATATATATATATATATATATATATATATATATATATATATAATATATATATATATATATATATTAGTATAGTATAATACATAGTACCTTCTATATATGTTGCATCATTATAAGATTGATCAAACCATATTTCGCCTTTGATGTTATTACCCTGCAATTCAACAAGTGCAACTATTCGGTTTTCGTTTCTTACTATGTAAGGATATCGTTTTATAACATTTCCATCTGTAAAAGCAAAATGATGAGAGATTAGAAAAAGTGCAATAAAACTGCATGATATTTTTATTAATATACTTATATGTCAAAATTGATATGTTTAGAGAATATTTTTTACAAGGTTTATTTAGTTGTAATTGAGGCATTTTATTGTAAAAAATGAACTACTGAAATTAAATGCCAATATTTTATTAAAATAATTCAAATAACTAAAAAAATCAAAAACCTCCTTCAAAGGGACATTCTGTTTAATGAAAAGTTAAGCATTTTTAAAACCGTTGTTGTTTGTTGATCTTAAAGATGCTATATTTTTAAGATCAACAAACTTAATTAGAATTTCAATCTACAGTATCCAGTTTAAGGATTTTTTTGTTTCTCAAAACTTTACTAAATTGACTTTGACCATTTTCTTTTTACTGGTTTGTTTGAACAGCTAACATGAAGATTTGCAAGATTTAATTTTACAAAGAAAATAATGTAGGCTAATTATATACTATGTACACAGTATGGTGGTTATGAAATCATGACATTATTAAAGACAATTTATTAAATTGTCTTTAATAATGTCATGATTTCATAATAAAAAAATATATAAAGAACTTTGACTTTTTGATTTGTTCATGAAATGACTTTAAATTATTTAAAGTCATTTCATGAACAAATCAAAAGGTCAAATTTCTTTATAGCCATATTTATAAGAATGTGAAATAAGATATATGATGCAATTTCTTGCAATAAATTTGACTATCGAGAGTAATGAAATTAAACTCATTGAAATGGATATCTTTTTTTTTCAACACTTCATAAAAATTTATACTTAATAATAATACAATTTAAAAATTATTTATTACACAATTCTGGCTACTTTTCGCTAATATTGATACCTTTTTTACGAAAAGGAGCACCGTTTACACTTAAAACAATTATAATCAGCACGTACCACCACATAGTTGTTTACTTCTGATTTTAACCTTCGAAACAAAACAGACTCCTTCAGTTATTCAAGAGTGTTTAAATATAACGCTATATTCGTTAATCGCGGCTAATTTTATTAAGCTAATTCCTTTTAAATCTGTTGATAAGTTGAAATAGATCAAATAAATAAAAACTAAATAAATTATCAAACTATTTATTTCTTATCAAATAAGACTAAAAAAGCTTTTTTAACTTTCTTTATGTAACTTTACTAAAATATTTCAGATTGTTCTAATTATTGTGTATACTAATAATAAAATTACTAATAGTAATATAAAATAAAAAATATATGAGCGAATAGACTGTATTTTTGGGTTGACCGCACTTTATACCGTAACACAGTGATTAAGTTAAAATTATTCAAAAATTAATTTTGTAAAAAATATATATTCAAAATTGCTGAAAAATTACTCTGAGATGTCAAAAAGGTAGACAAAAAAAGAAGTCTATGAACCTTAAAATTAGTGTCAAATATGGTCAAGCATGTGTGTGAGGAAAGGGGGGGGGAGGGAGAAGATTTTTTTTTGTTTATTATCTTTATTTTTAGATTTTTGAGCTTCTCCTGAATATCCGATTCGCAACAAGAACTTTGAAATTGTTTCAGAACTATGAAACAATAACTTATGCAAAGATACAGGCATATAAAACCAATTATATTTTTACAAAGCATTGCTATTTAGTGCAATATTCAATGAATTTTGTTGTATCAATCTCAAAACCTGAATTTATTATGTTTAAAATGTTTGCTAAACGTTTTATTAATTATTTTTCTATGCCGCATTAAAAAAAAATTAAAATGTTTAAATACTAGTCTGGTGAAGTTCCAGAGCCACCTTATAGAAAAATCTACTCTCAAGCCTAATTCCTAAATAGTTTTATTTTGTATGATTTGTACTTTTTTTTCAAAAACTTCTTAGTCAGCATTGCCACGAATTGGTAAAACTGACTAAGAATTTATTTAATATTTATTTTAAAAAAAGGTGTTTTGAATGTTTATTACACATTAAATTAATGTAAAAAACATTTAGATCACCTTTTACAAGCATAAAAGGAAGAAAAACGAAATTTAATGATATCTATATTAGAATTTAAAGTTTGTTTTAAGTTACATGCATTAGAATTCATTTGTTTTGGAGAAGCTGAACATATTTTTACATTTATTAATATTATTATATTCAAAAATAGTTCGAAAGACTCAAATTTAAACACAAATTAAATGTCTTTTGAACTATTATTGTCAAAATTCTGCTTATATTGACTTTGAGCAGACGCGCCATCAAACCCCCATTTACAACTAAATATTCCTTTTGTTTTATCACCACTCTCTATTTGCATAATTTGAGTTAAGACTGAATCCATTTGAAAAAAACAAGTTATTTTTTAATCAAGAAGACTTTGAAGTTTAATTTCAAGATTTTGTTTACTAAAATTTAATGTCGTATAAAATTAATAAAATTATGTCGTCAGAGTAGCATTCTTTTCTGGCTGACAAAATCTTACTATACAAAGGATACATATTTGCATTTCTTTCTTTAGTTGCAATCCTTATTTTCAGATAAACTTTGTGATAAATCAGCTGAAACCATCAAGGCCAATATTTCTTTTTAGATAATTTTATAATAGGCTTTTCATTTTTAATCATACTCGCTACTACATTGAGTTGACTGGGAGAAAAAACCAGTTGTTATAAAGAAAAATACAGACTGTAGTATTGATTTCCCCTTGAACTTACTACAGCAGATAAGATCAACTCATCATAAGCATTCCCCAGGGCCGACGACACGGGTTTTGAAGTGGGAGGGCACAATCATCAATTTGTTAAAAAAGTCCGCTAAATAAATATTTTTCTTAAAAAAAAAAAAAAAAAAAGAAGAAGAAAGTCCTTTAGAAAAAAAAAGTGGGATGCCACGTGCCCCCTGGTCCCCCCCGCTGTTGTCGGCCCTGATCCTATTTTTTTACTCTTTCTTATTTTATTTATGTTGCTTGATAGTTCTTATTCAAGGCATTTTCTTCTAGGTGTTTTCCTTTCACTTTGATTTGTTATGTTGTTAAAAGTTGACTCGACTAATACTCTTCTGATGTTTCTAGAATAACTAGATCTGCTTCAAGCCAATTTGCTTCTTTATTTTTATTCAATCCCATTGCCGATTATTATTATAAAATTATATTTTGAACTTTTAAATTTTCCATTATTTTTACTATAATTTTATATTGTTTAGAAGTACGTTGTTTCATTAACGTTGTTTGATTACGCAGTTTGAGAGCAGCCGTGGCGCAGTGGTTAGAGTTCTGGCTCAGAACCCAGAGGTCCGAGGTTCGACGCCGGCTCCAGCCCAATAAACGACATTGGTAAGGAAGGAGGCGTGAACCCCTAGTTAAATGCTCTTCCGCGGTACTCCGCGATAACACCGCAAGGACCCCTGGGAGCACCTAAATAACAAAAAAAAAAAAAAAAACTTCCAAAATGTAATCAAAAAGTAAATTTTTAAGCAATTTATTTCTATCAATCAAAGTTCTGATTTTAATAACTAAATAAAGTAGATGTTTAGTAAACATTATATTTATTTTATATTAAGTGAAAGAAAAATGATATTAACTTTAACATGCACATATCATCAGTGATATTTAAGTTAATTTTAAGTAAAATTAATCAATTTCGTTAATGTGAATAAAAACTAAAATTAGGAATTATTTGAAGAACGAAAACTGAAATACAATCGAATATCAGCATTGGAAATGAAAATAGAGAAAAGAATTATTACTGAAGCAAAATTGTTGAATACAAAAGTAAAACTTAACGATTTTTTTATGACGTAACATTTATTCTTTGTTTCAAAAAATACAAATTTATAAACAAAAGTATATAAATATATAAAAATTCTAAAGAATTATAAACCAATCAATAAAAAAATGTTTATCAATATATGAAAACTTTATATTCTTGATAAATAAACAGACACATCTACATTAGGGTAGAGCAATTTTCATAGCAAAAAAAAAATAAAAAGTTTAAAAATCAATATTCCTGAGACACGAATCGATGTCTATTAATTATAAGATTAAAGTAAAAAAATATTTTTTGATTTTGATGAGATCTTAAGGTTCCTCTTTGGATTCTAAATTCTTGACAGATCCTAATATTTTTGAATTTTTTTTTTTTTGGACTCAAACCATGGACTCAAAAAAAGTAGAAAAAAATGCTTGTTTTATTAACAATAATTTTATTTAAAAAAATTTTTAAGTGAAAAAAATATTTGCAAAAATTTACCTTAAAACCCCCGTTTTGATGAAGACGAGGGTTTTTTAATGAAAAAAATGACATTATTATTTTTTTTCTTAAGTTTTGAATTAAAACAATTATTATTTTCAAAATCAGCATATTATTTTGATTCTTTTGAGTACCAGGTTGATATAGTTTAGAAAAAAAAAAATTTCAACAATATTAGGATCCGTCATAAATTTAGAATCCAAAGAGGAACCTCGAAAACTCATCTAAATTAAAAAAAAAAAAAGTAAGGTTCTTTTTTCACCAAAAGACAAATCGCTCCACCTTAATCTACATGCCTAGTTCAGGTTCAGGACAACATTAATGATGGCGCGTGTGGCACAACTTTTGTCGGAAAACATTTTAGTATCTTTGTAGCGCATAATCAGAGAATACATAAAGAGACACACAAAGTTAAAATAAAAAAAATTTAAATGAAGGAAAAAAAACGAGATGCAAAAAAACAATTTTTAAAGCGTAAAATTGATGACAATTATTTTACATCTTTTCGAAATAGTGGAAAAACAAAAAACCAGACAATAGGAGAGAGCTTTGAACGCCAATTAACCAAGTGACCAACGGAATCAAATGAACATCAGCTGCGTAGGGATAACGTGATTGAAATGATTGTCAATACCCATTGGCATTACTAGATCCACCGCCATTTTGAAAGATGATAAAAACGTATGACCCAAAATTTGAATTTCCAGTTAATTAATAACAAATTTGTAAAATATTGTATTTTAAATTCAATAGTGCTCAACAATTTTTAATGTTACAAATTAGCCTTTAAGAGTGCATAGAAATTTCCAGTAGCCAAATTTGTTGTGTTTTAGGGTTCGCCAAATTTAGATTTCCTATAATAAACATACTATAATCATTTGTCTTAATGGTTGGACAAAGAAGAATCTTACAGCATCATTCCTTGGAATATCTGCATATTTCTATGACATCACCATCGATCGAACACGATATGTTTTTCTAAATTTGTCGGTACTCCAATACCAGCACAAAGGTGATATGTTTGGAGAATGCTTAAAAAAATGTATTGGCCATTAGAGTGTTAGAAAATATTAAGTTATGTTGATTGTTTCAGACAATGGGTCTAATATTGTTAGAGAAATTAGACTATTACAGGAAAGGCACGCAGCCATAAAATATGGCGACTCTGAATCTGACAAATCTGAACATAAAACAAATAATGAAGACACCCATATTATTTTGATCCAACTAATTTATCTCTGCCAGTACATTTTCCGTATTGTCAAATGCCCTGTATGGCTCACATAATTCAGCTTCTTATAAACAATTTACGAACATTATAGAGCAACTAACTTAGAAACGAAATAAGTTGTTTAGATGGTTTACTTAAATTTAGGAACTGACACATTCAAAGCAAGTGAATAGGTTCGGCTTCAAATCATTTCCTTTCACTTAGAACCCTTGGCAGTACAAACGGATATACTTTAAACCGATACCCAATCCCCTTCAAAGTTCTACTATTTATACTCAATTTAGAATGCCTTTCGCAAGAACATATTACAAACAAGACTATGACAGGAAACCTTCTAGGAGATATACGTTGAAGGTTTAAAACAAGTTTAAAGCCAAACCTATTTACTTGCTTTGAATGTGTCAATTCCTGAATTTAAGTAAACCATCTAAACAATTTATTTCGTTTGAGCAGCTGTGGCGCAGTGGTTAGAGTTCTGGCTTAGAAACTAGAGGCCCGAGGTTTGACGTCAGGGAGCACCAAAATAACTACAAAGAAAAAAAAAAATTATGCAGTCGGATACATTCAATCCTCTTCTGTTTGCTGCATGTTTGTTTGATCCGACCGTTGCTGTTTGATCCGACCGTTGCTGTCGCAGCAAAGATGTGTATAACAAGTGTTTGAGGAGTTGAGCCAGAATTACAAGCAGCTGCCGAGTCAAATGGATCTGAATGTGAATCTGCTGCCGTGAAGCGCTTTAAATTCTTGTCGAATAAAATCCTTTCAAATAAAGAATTTATTAATAATCAAGACAATGTCAGTGTTTCAGGTCAATCGTTAAGATAGTTAGTAAATATAAAGTGTAATGACGCCTTGCCAAGTCACAGCTTGCTCTTTCGCAAACAAAACAAAAGCAAGTATAATAAGATTTCTTTTTTTACTGATCGGCATTCGGCCCAATACCGAATACTAGATTGTAATAAAAAAAATGCATAAGTAATGATTACATATAACTATTTTTATTTTTTATTATAACAAATAACTAACATATTTGTTCCTTAAAATCTACAGATAGTAAGTTATGATAAAAACCTTTTCACCGTTTGATTATGGCGAATGGTTGCGTTTTTTGTAATAAATAATACATACTTCCAAAAAAAGCTTTATGTACACTGCCGTCCGCAAATAATAAAAAAACTTTAGCAAGTTCTGTTATGATATTATTTTGAGTTTGCTGACTACCACCTATTAAGGTTTACTGCCCAATTTAAACAAAGTTTCATATAAAAATTAATTTTATTTGCAATTGGACTTTTCTTTTCCAAAACCTTATATGTGTGCATATTTTCTGCAGAGATTAATTTGACTGTTTCGATTACATTTCTTTTTCTTACAAAGTAAAAATATATTATCACCGGTGTTGAAATAAATCGAATAAATCATCACCGGTTCATTGGTGTCAACCAGTCTTTTTCTGAGAAGGTTTAGCCTTTTACTGACACGAATTAACATTTTACTAAAAAATTTTTTAGTAAAAGATTAAATCTTTCTTTTAAGTTTTTTTTTGGTTTTGCTTGTTGTGTTTTAACTAATCCCACGAAAAACCGTTTAATTTTTACAAGTATCACTTGTAAAAATATTATATTTTTCTAATGTGTTTAAATATTTTTATTTTTCGCAACAATTTTTTCAACATTGGGAGACATGTCAGTGCATGTTTTTGTCCTTTAGTAGCAAAACGTTGCAGGAGTTGTTTGGGTGTTATTTTAAGGTATTTTAATTACTTTTAATTTATTTTCTTTACAAAATTACTTTATATATAAAAATTTAATTCGAATTTACCAATAAATTTTTTTTTTAGGAATTGTACAGTAAAACTGGTGAAATTATTTTGTTTTAACAATGCGTAAAAAAAATGATATTTCCTCCAAAAAATATTCTGCTGTAAAAACTTTGTTGTAAAACTCAGGTAGAAGCCGTATTAATATGCTTATTAAAGCCAAGGGGCTCCATACCAAGTGTTAATTAGTTTTTTTTTTATTTACGTACGTTATATGTTATAAAAAATAAAAAAAAATGAGAAAAAAATTTTAGTCTAATAATTTGAACACGTATATATACATATATATATATATATATATATATATATATATATTATATATATATATATATATATATATATATATATATATATATATATATATAATATATTAAAATTATAAGTAAAAATAAAGTAAATTAAAATATTTTAGTTACGTTGAATTTAACAGTTTAAATACAATATTTACCGATCAATCAGTTATTAAGATTAACAACTGTGTCGATTTAAATCGTCATTAAATTATTTATGTAAACATTTGTTTGTATATTTTTAGGATATTTCCAAGTGGTTTGAAGTTGCATAAATCTTATCAAGTATCTAGCGCTTTCTTAAAATTTAGGCGTATCTAAGGAAATATTTATTCAACTCAAAGAACAAAGCAAAAACTGATATTAAGTCAAATACGATTATTGATTCAAATACGATATGTTGATTCAAATAGCATTGTAACCGTTTTCTGAATTCTTTGGAATGTATAAAAAAATAAACTTGTCAAATTCAATTGCTTTTTTAAAGCAATCATGTTAAAAATATAATTTTTTACTTAAGCTTACACGTTATTCTCAACGTGTGTGCGTGTATATATATATATATATATACATATATATATATATATATATATATATATATATATATATATATATATATATATATATATATATATATATATATATATATATATATATATATATATATATATATATATATATATATATATATATATATATATATATATATATATATATATATATATATATATATACATATGTATATATATACGTATACATATGTATACATATAAATATAAATATATAAATTTAAAAATATTAAATGAAAGACTACGCGTAAGATTAGATAAAAAATTAAATTGAGAATAACGCGTATGATTAAATAAAATATTATATAACAAAATAAATCAAAGAAAGTTTTTAAGTAAGTTTTATCATTCAATTTTACATTTACAAATTTGTTTGAGATTAGATACTAAATTGAGTTCAAGATTGCATAAAAAAATTGACTCAAAGATGCGTGAATGAATATTTTAAAGATGCGTGAATGAATATTTTAAAGATGCGTGAATGAATATTTTAAAGATGCGTGAATGAATATTTTAAAGATGCGTGAATGAATATTTTAAAGATTCATTAGAGATTATTTATCAGACTATGGACAGAATTACGAGAAATTTGACGTGAAAATTAAAATAAAAATTAGAAGGTTATATAATATAACATGGAGGAATTTTTAAAATTTTTATTTATTATTAATGTTAGTTTATTTAAAACACTAACGTTGGTTAATAAAAATTTTGGAAAATAAACCTTACTTCTTTAACATGTTTATAAAACGTTTCACTAACAATGAGTAATGAACCAGCGGGAATCAGACAGAAGTTAAACCGCAAATATTTTGTTTGAACATATAGTTAACTAAAAGTTAACTATATGTTCAAACTACTAATACTAATTGGTAACATTTTTTGAGATCTTTGCAACTTATGCAAGAATATTTTCAAAAACTTTCTTCTTTAATTTTCAATCTTAATATAAACAAAAGTAAAGTAAAACTTGATATTATAAAAAAACTAAACCTATATATTAATCTATATTAAACGTAATTGCAGTAAGTTAAACAAGCTTTTAATTTTGTTTATCTTTCTAGAATTAGGTTCTCTCACTTTTTCTTTCTAAATATATATATATATATATATATATATATATATATATATATATATATATATATATATATATATATATATATATATATATATATATATATATATATATATATATATATATGTATATATATATATATATATATATATATATATATATATATATATATATATATATATATATATATATATATATATATATATATATATATATATATATATATATATATTATAGTATTTAGTAAAAACTTGGTAAAATTTTTCGTTAGTTTATCGTTTATTTAATGTTACTTTATACCTTCTTGGGGTACGGGAGCGCAGTTTACATTCAATGCAATTGCAAATAAGTACCACCACATGGTTAAACTTTTTCTTTTGCCAACTTAAAATTTTTTAAAAATATTTTAACTATCTTTTTACTGTGGTCACTGTAAAGTTATTTGTTAGATATATGATGTTCCAAAAATATGGCGCATATCTATTAGGAGTATTCATTGTTGACGCAATTAAACCTTTACCGCTAAGCTCTGTGTTTATTTTAGTCAGTTAATTCCTTACGCGGTGGTGAATCAATGTATATATTTCAAACTTCTCGTTCGGTTCTTATGCGTAAATATTTGTCATTCACTTTTTAATGGTGAGTTGCATGACTAACATTTAAAATTTTTCTCATAGATGACAATATATATAACTTAATAATTATTGTAAATAAGGTACTGTAAATAAGCTTTTTGTTAAGGTATGTGTGTTTATACATTATATAAATAATGTTTACGCATACTTAAACCAAAAAATAAATACCTATTTACAAAAGCGGTATTAATAATTAAAAAAAAACCGACAAATAAACTAATAAAAGTAGATGGCCTCTATGATGTAAGAAATAATATGCATAATTAATGGTGATTGCTGCTTAAACTATGATTTTAGATCTAAAGAGCTGTTAAGTTAGTTTCGTAACTTTTTTTCATGATTGAGTCATACACTTTATACAATAATAACAGACGTGTTGGATGTAGTTATAAAGGAAAAAAAGATAATAAAAACAAAATATAAAAAGCGTAGCAGTTGAAAATAAAGTATATATTTTTTATAAACTTTAGTAAGGAGTCACTCTGAGTTGACGAGTCGCTAATAGTTTGTTAAACAGATTAACTAAAGCTAAAAGGTTTTTAGTAATATCAGTAAATTATTGAAACGATACGTAACAACAATGTTGTTGTTTTTTTATCGACGACATGATAAGTAGTTTAAAAGAGTTTTTGAAAATAAAATGAGATAAAATTCTAATGAACACGATTGCAACATTTTTTTCCTAAAATTAGATAAATTAAAAATACATTATTTGCTTATCATTATTGAATAGCTTACAACCTAACTATTAATTGTTTGATGCAAGTTAAAGTATAAATTGGGTAAATTAATTGTCGAAATAAAAATATTATTTAGATAACTTAAAATTACTTAATTTAGCAGCGTTTAATTAGTAAGACAATGACAACCTATATCAATCTACGAAAACCTTCGACAACTTACGCCATAAGTAGTTTAACTAATTTAAAAAGAGTTTTTAACTAAAACTTACAACATAACGTAATAATAGATGGCACAGCCATCTAAGCTTCTATTACCTACAAGGCTCTCATTAAACATCTACCAATATATATACAGCCAAAAAGATCCACCACTACTATAGACTATTAACTATAAATGCAAAACAAAAACAAATATAAGTGCGAGTCGCATTTCTATTGTCTAAAATCAATGTGTCTAATTGGTTTTGTGTCGGAAGTTTTGATATTCTTATGCAACTTTCATCAGAAAAAAAGTTGTCAAAGCGTGACTTCAAGAAAATTCATTTAATGTTCTTGCTATCTCATCAAAAACTAAGTAAAAGTTGAAAGCAAAGATTTTTAAACATAACCAAACCTCACAAGTATAAAATAACGCCCATATATTGTATTTCTCTTGTTGCTTGAATAGCATAAAGAGTTGAAGCTGTTCTTAAAGTTTGGAACATCCATACAATTGAGGCTGTTCTTAAAGTTTGGAACACTAACAGGATTGAGGTTGTTTTTAGAGTTTGGAACACCCATACCAAGCACTAAAAGATGTTTCATACTTTGACTTGTTCTTTTATATTGATGTATGCAAATGTTAAAAAACTATTTATATATATACCATTTGCTTTTTAATTTGTTATCGGGTTTTAAAATTTTATGAATTTTAATACTTTTTATATTAAAATTCATAAAATAAAAACTAATTCGTCAATATTTATAATATTGACGAATTGGTCACCTGCATCATTTTTTCGTTATTTTTGGGAAGTCATAAAATGCGAAAATTGATATATTAGTCATTTTTATATGGCCAAAATATATACCTCTACGTAATGCTTTTTTTGGTATTTTGGCTTATAATTAAACCTTTTGGTATTTTGGTTTATAACAGGATCTTATTGATTTTATGGCTTACAACTTGATCTTTTTCGTAATATAGATTACAATAATTCTGGTATTATGAAAATTGGACCTTTCTGGTATGATGACAATTGGACATAAAGAAATAGTAATAAAAAAAATTTGCTAACTCCATAATTTACGTGGTTTTTTGGTTAGTACAAAATATTTTTCTTAATATGATGGTCAAAGTATAATTTTCTAAGTTTTCTTAAATTTTTTATTCAAATCAAATTATTTATTCGTGTTCTTAGTTTTATGAATCGCGTTTTGCTATGCTGTATAAGTTATTATAGTATTATCTTGTGGCTGATTTTGGTAGTATTTAATTTGATTGTTATATTATTTACTAAACTTGTGTTTTCTTACAACCTTATTGTTCTGTTGTTGTGCAAGAAAGTTGCTGAAGCAACTACAAATATTTATTTTGTGTTTTGATTTCGACATAATATGGCACTATCAATACAATATGGCACTTTCAATACAATATGGCACTTTTCAATACAATATGGCACTATCAATACAATATGGCATTATCAGTACAATATGGCACTATCAACACACTATGGCATTATCATATAGCTAATGCAGTGTTAAATAAGTTGTTCACATAAATTTAGTTTTTGTAATGTCATTGTACAATTATAAGAGATTTTTTTATATAAACGAGGGTAAAGATACGTTAAATACGTTATGCGAGGATATGTTGAGAGCATATTCTAAATTAATGCAACTGTCTTGATTGCTCCATGACCTTGACCAAATTTCGTTAAAATTATGATAGCTTTGAATTTTTAGAACTCAATGAATTTAATACTTTCCTAATTTTTCAATTTTTCAACGTTTTTGCTTTCCTAATATTAATATATTTCCAATAAAACTTATTTTTAGTAACTTCATACTTGTTTTTTCGGCTTGATTACTAACATTAAAACTTTTTTTTTCGGTTTGATTACTAACATTAAAACTTTTTTTTTCGGCTTGATTACTAACATTAAAACTTTTTTTTTCGGCTTGATTACTAACATTAAAACTTTTTATTTTCGGCTTGATTACTAACATTAAAACTTTTTTTTTCGGCTTGATTACTAACATTAAAACTTATTACTTTGCTTTATTTGTTCAAAAGTAGTTTAGTTATTTATAAAGGCGTGAAAATGTTAATAGGGAAGACTGGGGCTAGTTGCCTCTGTTTTTACTCTATGAGCTCTGTAGCCCTAACATGAATTTTTTGGAAATATTTCAGTTTTTTTAACATGCAAAAATTTCTAGGTGCTCCTCTGGGGCCTTTAGGAGGAGTTGTTGTTGACAACCAATTTATCAAAAAACTGCAAACTCTAATGTTAAAAATTTAAACTAAACATTTTACAATGTAACTCAATGCGTTCTTTAAGGCTCACTGTCCAACATTTTAAAGTTAGAAGCTTTACTTTATTACTTATTTTGTTGTATTGCTAAATATAGTAATGTTTATTAGACGGTCCGTTAAGTCTGTCATTAGAATAAAGACTGGTTGAAATATTCTAAATGGACAACTTGAGCATACCAGAGGTTTCTGGATTTTTTAGATATTTTTTCAAAGAACTTTTAAACCTATAGGTGGAGACGGATTGGATACCAATCAGAAAATAGTAAAACTAGATCCGGATCAATTTGTTTTTTGATACAAAATTTTTTTTGGGAAAAAAAATGAAAGTCATATTAAAAATTAAGAATAAAAAAATGGGTTCGGATTACAAAAAAATAGTAATAATACTTTTATTGCCGTGCATTGTAAAATGAAGCACTAGAAATATAAAATGACTTCTTTGCAACTACACATTGTATTCTTAAATAGAATAGATTTGGTGGCGCATTGGTTTGAGGACTTTCAGTCTAAGTTTAAAATTAATTCTTTACCAGCCGGAATCCCATTAACACACAATTGAAACTTTCAAAAAGTTTTTAGATTGCTTTGAATTGCAAAGTTGTTTTGCGCCCGCTCTTTTTTTAATTTGGCTAGAAATGAAAATTGCTTTATCAATACTTTAACTAGAAAACCAGTAGTAAATTGGAAAAATATTTGTGTAGAAGATGAAAATTAAAATTTTAATGGGCTATATCATTTAGTTTTAAGTAGCTCTTCTTCTTTAAAATAAAGCAGCAAGTTTTGAAATAAAGCAACCACTTTCAATGATGGGATACTATCAGAAAACCAGTACTCTGTCAATAGTTTTTGTAAGTCTATTTTAATAGCGATTTCAGCTAATTTTACCTTTCATTTTTATGATTCTTAAATTATTGGCAGGCCCGCCCAGAGCTTTTGTGATGCCCGGGTCCAAAAGTTAGAAAGACTCTGAGAGAAGCACGCACATTTGTTGAAATATTGAATGCAGCCCCTTTGCATAACCTTCATTTAGAAGTTCGACAGGCTTTTTGCTGGCTAGAATATTTCTTCTTATGGAAAAAAAATGCCGAAAAGAAAATTTTCAGAAAATTTGTTTTTACATAAGTCTTCTGGGTAAAACTTAGTCAGATTCTCAGCTAATAATCTGTGAAGACCAAAGAAAAGAAAACTTGTTTCCATTCCTTTTCTATTACTTTAAATCTCGATCTCTATTGATTAGTTAAATTGTCGAGCGCAACATTGAAGACATTACACTCAAAGGTTTTTTCTTCGTGGTTGTAACTAGCAGTTTCATTAAAAGTTTCTTTCATAGCAAACATAATCCAAACTTTATTTCATAAATCACATAATTCAATTTTTATTAAAATTTAAGTTTATTGCAAGTTCTGTTTCCATCAAATTAAGTTATTAATTAAATTTTTGGTCTTAAATTTACAAAAAAAAAAGTTCCGCCGAACTCCATTCTCCACTACCTCAACTTGCTTGAAGTAATTGTTTGAATTTTTGCTAGAAAAATTCTGATATACTTTATGCATCTTCATAGAATTACTTATAACTTTCGTTACTATATATTGTAAATTCTGATATACTTTATGCATCTTCATAGAATTACTTATAACTTTCGTTACTATATATTGTAAATTTGAGCCAGAACTATAACCACTGCGCCATGGCTGCACTAAATTTTCAACATTAATTATTTTCAAAAACTAGTTTTGGTAAATTTTCAATTTTATGTTATGGAGTTTATTTATGGGATAAAATAGCTTTGATGATTTAATTATTTTAAGAACTGAATTCCAATTCACTTAAGGGAAAAACAAACTTTATCTATTTATAACTTTTAGTTTACTTTCCGGCTATTTGTTATCTGCAACATGTTAGGTCCTCTTGGGGCAACCTAAAACAAAAACATACAAATTTCACACTTACATATAAGTATTTAAATCTTTGAATTGTTTTCAAGGTATACTTTATAAACTTGAATTTATATATTCTTTTATAAATTTAAATATATATATTTTTTTATTTATATATTTGCTAAACACCCACTATACAAGTAATGTAAATCTAGGAAATATATTATTTTATAAGTTTATATATATATATATATATATATATATATATATATATATATATATATATATATATATATATATATATATATATATATATATATATATATATATATATATATATATATATATATAAAATCTAAAAGACTTATATTCAAATCTTTTTTGGTACTAAAGATAGGTAAGTAAGTTTTCCACAGGAAAAAAAATTTTAAACTCGTGCGCGTTCATGTAGTTTTTAAATGGGGATGCTTTACAAAAAGTCGCAGCAATTGGAGTCTGGGAACAACAAAAAAAATTTGAAATGTTGAACCACTCAACTCCAATTGTGAGGACAATGGAATAATTAAACTTTTTTATTGTTTTTTTATAAATTTATATTAATGAAAGATTTCAATTCTTATCAAATAGTCTCAAAAATCTGCTACAGACTTTTTTAATTCTGTTTGAAATGCTAAAATTATTTTTTTGTAACGGTAAAACTTAAGTTTAAAATTAAATTTATATTTAAAAAAATTTTTTAAATGTTTTCAAAAATTTTTTAAGCATCCTCCTAATGCTAATGTAAGTGACATGATAGGAGAACGTAAGGAAGATTTGTGATTCAAACGCGATTACCATATTTGCTGATATATATATATATTTTTTTTCTTAAATACTTAATTATGAATATATACGTAATATCTTATTTATATATCTATACTTTATTTCACACATTTCAAATATTTACACAAATTTCAACAACAAAAAAATATTACACCTATTTTTTATTTATTATACTTTTTTTTTGCATACGTTAAAAAAAATTTATTAAATCTAGTTTATATGATTTGAAAAAATAAGCTATTGCAAAGCATAAAGTTTGCTATATCAAATTGTACAAAATCTTTTAAAGTTAATTAGCAAATTTTTAATTGAATGGGGCTAATGTTTGCTGTTGCACTGTTTCTGTCATTCTTGTTTGATAAGTTACGTCTGGTGGACATTTTTCATCGGTTGGTCTAAATACAGCCACACTTTCCTGTTCTTCGCATTTTTGCATGCAACATATTAAGCTACGAATAAATGAAACGGCTGCATAGCTTCCTGCGGTCATTCCTAGACGCATTTCAATAGGAATGACACTTTCCACAATGGGCTTCCATTGAAAGCATCCATTCATGCTCGACATCTTATTCAACCTATTTGTAAAAAATTGTATAATCATTAAAATTTTTAATCAAAAAAAGTGCTTTTAAAAAGTTTTCTAACTTCTATCTTATTGGCTCTCATATACCATCAAAATACTTGTGATTTATTTACGATATAAAGTTTATTAAACATAAAATAATTAAAAAATAAACAGATATGATGAATATACGTAAACAAATGAATGCCATGACAACTATATATATATATATATATATATATATATATATATATATATATATATATATATATATATATATATATATATATATATATATATATATATATATATATATATATATATATATATATATATATATATATATACTTTTCGTTCTCTATAAAAGTTTCTTAAGGGTACATTTTTTTACAAAAAAAATTATGCTTACGGGGACAAAAAACTAACGGGTACACTAAAATGTCCCCAATAATGGCAATGTCCCCATAAGTGTTCGTTTTTTTGTAAATCTGTCTCCGTATATATATATATATATATATATATATATATATATATATATATATATATATATATATATATATATATATATATATATATATTCTCAATTTGATTTATATTCATTGATAAATTTTAAATTTCATAGGCTAATCTTATAGTGTTCAAAAATTATGACTATATAAAGTTTGCTCCCCCTCAAATTGAGGGGTGTGGAAATAATAAGATCATTATTTTTGAACGCTAAGAGATAATTGTATTAAAGTTTAAATTTGTTGATGAATAAAAATTAAGTTAAATACTTAAAAAAATACTTTATCAGCCAAAGATTTAGGCTTTTTTTGTTTTTAGGCTCTAATCATCACAAATTTTTGGAAATATAAATATAAAAATATATATGTTTGGAGTTTGCTTCATGTCTGAAAGTTAGCTTAAACAAAAAATTGCTTGATCCACCCCTGGTATATGATTAATTCTCCATTTCTGAGATTTGATCTATAGCTTTTCTAACCCCTTATATTAAGCACGTAAGAGTAGATATTTTTGAACAAATGTTTTTTTTATATTGTTTCATTTTTTCTTTTACGTCTTCAAAAATTTGACTTTTATTATTGGATCTAAAATATTTGTGATAATAAATTAACTTGTAATTTCATTATATATATCTGCAAATACTTGTATAAATGGTACTTTTGGAGTCTCTTGGCAATAGATTGGTATTTTTATCGGCAGAAGCGTAATCCCACCATATAATATATATATATATATATATATATATATATATATATATATATATATATATATATATATATATATATATATATATATATATATATATATATATATATTGAATGGTAATAACACAAAATAGAAGAAAATAGAAGACTGTACAGAGATATATTGTGTTAACGGACAAAAAAATACATAATAAACTAATAAAATAATTACGAATGACTCAGTAAATAACCAATCAGTATAATTAAAATAAAGTAAACTCTCATTTTAATTGAATAGATAAATTAATGTTACATAATGTTATAATGGAAAGAAGTGCTTAATAAATCCTTCACGTGAGGGGTTTTCCCATTTAATGTGAAGCGCTTCTTTTACTTTTAATTTATGTTTAGTTGAAATCTAAAATCTCAAATGATTTACAATTAGACAGATTTTTATAATTTGCGGATGTAATTAAATGTTTATAAATACAGTAGATTTTTCTAACTCTAAACAGTCCCTAGTTACGAACAGCTTTAGATCACTTAGTGTTACATCTTTTATTTTAGTGGGATTTATAAAAAGAAAACTAATTAATAAATTGGATGACAAGGGTAATGAGATATTAAAACATATTTTCAAAATATGTATTAGGGTATTTTTATATAATAGGGTTTCAAAATATATATTAGGGTAAATATATATATATGGTAATGAGAATATGAAAAAATATTTTCAAAATATATATTGATACCATAAAACTTTTTAATTGCAAGTAAAACACTTTTTAAAGCCCTGAAAAACCAACTATATGAAACCGACTTAAAAAAAAAAGACAAATTAAATTGCATACTGTTTGATGTAGAATTTGATGGTGGTTATTTATCTGAAAAAAAAGTCAAAAATTAGAGATACTTCGTAAAATATTTAAAAAACAGTACTTTCCTTCATAGTTTAAACGTTTTCCGAATCCGAACTGATTTTAAAATGCTTTTTATGTTTTATCAAATGTTGGTGTTTTTTACATGCAAGTAATTGACAACAACTTTTAACAATAGTATTTTAACGACATTAACTTAAAATCTAATTAACGCTTTTAAATTTTTTAATAAATTTCTAAACGTTTTGATTATCTTAACATTTGTTAATTTAAAAAATGTCAAAATTAAAGAAAAAATGAAGATTGCAAAGAAAAAATTAAACTTTGTTGACCAGGTAGACCAAGAGCAATAAGCCAAGTAAGGGAGAGGTTTATAATTTAACTTGTACAGTTTATGAGTGACATTGGCTTCAGCTTACAAAGAAATGATATTTTAAATGTGGTCGAGAACTATTATGAACGAATCTAAACAAACTTATTTATTCAAGACCGGTAAACCTACTCGAAAGTGGTAAAAAGTTTCATCAGAAAATATGCGAAAAACATCGGTGAAAGAAAGACTGCTAGCATACAGGCTGTAAAAGCGGTGTATTTGCAACTGGCTAATTATTGATGAATGGTTCAGCCAAGTTGACGCTGTTTATCGAGAGCATAACTTAAATGAAAAGCCGTTTCATGTGTTCAACTGTGAAATTGATTGAGTTTCGATCAAGGTAAAGTCAACATTGTTTTTCGAAAAGGAATAAAAAATAAACAACTTGCTCCAACAAATGATAAACAAATGACTACAATTTCTATTTTTAGACAACTATGCATCACATCAATTTGAATTAAAAAGATTATCTGAATCAAACAAAATAATTTTATTCCGATTGCCAGCTCACACAAGTCATTATTTATAACCACTAGATGTTGGAGTTTTTAAAACAGTAAAGGCAGAATAGAGCCGAATTGTAAAAGTTTACTTGGTTAAAAATTTTTGTTTAAGTAACCGACAGTTTCCAGCCGACAGTTTCCAGCCGTCCTAAAAGACCTTATTGCAAATAAAGGCTTTAACGCGGAAAATGCACGTAGTAGTTTGAAAAATAAAAACTCTACGAATAGACTTTCAACAAAAGAAGTATTGCTCAAAGAACTAGATAGCATCAAAAATCCCGTTAAACTAGCATCTTTTGATATTTCGATAATAAAGAAAAGGGAGCAATAATTAAAAGAACAACAAGTTGTAACATGACTGAACTTGATGAAAAACTTGATGAAAAAGAAGACAGGAAAGTTATAAGAGAAAAAAAGAATTGGACTCAGTAATTCTCAAAGAACAAAAGTTTTAAAAAATGAAGAAAAAATGTTTTTTAAAGCTCGAAAACTAGTGTTGTTACTTTCACTAAACAGACAAAAAGTCGACTTGTCGAAAGTCAAAATTAGTTGACTTAGAAAAAACGAACAATAGGTTTAATCGATTATTGGACAATGGACTTCCTACTATTTGACTAAAAGTCAATTTATTCTAGTGAAAATTTGAAAATCCTTTTATTTTTTTATTAGATTTAATTTTCCAATCTTTTATTTTTGTTTGTTCGTTTAAAAACAAAAGCATGTACTATAACATAACGAGCGGTGTCACGAAAAGTGGTTTTGTGTCACCAAATATTCGGCTGCCAAATATTCAGGGACTCTTTTTTATTTTTAGGTTTCGGACCTGGTCAAAGTGCATATCGTGCAAAAGACGTTAAGTTGAAAATTGTCAGTTTTGACCTAATGATGCAGTATTGTAAAGTTTACATAGCTCTACAAACTGGCAAATTACAATTTAAAGGAAACACTATCTATTTCTCTGGTTATAAAAATACATTAAACGTTAACTCATAAAATGGGTGTTTTATTTTGGCTAACAGCTTTTGAATTAAAAAATAAAATAAAAGCTACAAATATCTTCTTAAATAAACACCTAATATTTTGGTATATTTAAGTGTCAACACCAAATGCAATTTAACAAGTTTATAAAAGTTTCAAATTGGAAGAAAACTTAAATGATTAATTTCTCTTAACAGGGTTTTTTGAGTTCAAAAGAATACTCACAATAGTTATTCTACGCTGTGGGCGTTTTTGTTTAGTTTTTGACTTGACTGTGTAACTTCCGGTGGGAAAAAGATAGCCAGATAACACAAGACGTGTTTAAAACGTCTAAAGCACGTATTACTACGTATTTTATACGTCTTTAATGAGTCTTTTATCCATTTTAGCAACTAGCTAGCTATTCGCTACTAGTTGCTAACTCATTTCCCATCGGGCAGCACACACTTTTTTTTGACTGTTCCATCAATTTGATTTAACTTAAGTTATGTATAAACGTATCATACAGAATATTAGACTAAGAGACCATAATTGATCTGTGCAAGATAAAAATTTGAATAATCTGCAATTATTTTTAGAACAATTTAAATCTATGAAATCAGGGCATGAACCCAAACAAAGCGAATGTGTTACCCATGATACCAAAAAGGTTTTTGAGCAAACTCCACTGAAAGGTTGATAGCTGTCTGCAAAGATTTGTTTTTGATTATGTCTTGCTTCGTGAGTTGCAAAATGGTAGAATAGAAGGAGAATTTTCTATTTACAGACAATCAACAAGGAGAAATGCTTTTATAGCAGCTGGGGACGTTTTTCCTGCTTTTAAAAAGCGTTTAACTCAATTTGCTGCAATATTTCTAGAATTAGTGGAAGTAAGATAACCCAATAAAAAAGATCACACATGCAAGGTCCAATTGTTTTGAAGATGCAACTTCAGTTGAAACTTGCATTTTTGATTTGAGCCTTTCAGAAACTGAAGAGAGATTTGCTGCCTATGTGGCAGGGTGGCTAGAGAAAAAAATGAGTGAACTAATTTATGCGGATGAGCCTATTACTAATTTATGAGGATGAGCCTATACTAACAAATAAAGCTAAATACTTCATTGAAGAGCTTTCACGAGGATATTTGACAGTTCTTCATGAGTGTACTTATCAGCTAGTTCGAATTGGGTTTATGCTTTGTAAAAAAACCAAATAGAGCATGTTTAGAAAAAGATTTATAAACATTCTGTCCATAATGGACACATTATGATTTTGGTTTATCAAAAAATCTTTTTAGGCTTTGGCAAAAGTTCTTTTGTATGTAATTCATAATTTGGAAAAAGACAAAGCAAAAAATGCATATCTTTATCAGAAATCAATTAAAAAGGTATGCCTTGCCGGGTAATATTTATTTGTTGAAAGACTTTTTTAACATGTTGTTAATTTGTTTAGGGAGTTTATTACACTGACTTTATATATATAAAAAGTTAAAAAAATATTTTACATTATTATAAAATCTTCTAGAGAATATTTCTTTATTTTTTGCAGATAAACTTTAAAAAGTTTTATTATATTGACTTTTTATTCTTTTTAAAAAGGTTTCCTCTTTGTTATTCATTTTTACTTTGTTTTTAAGTTTTTATTAATACTAAATTTTATTATTTTATAATTGTAAAGAGGCCACGCCTCCTAATAAACCCTAAATTATCCTTAAATTTAAAAAACCTCCAGAAAAGACCTAAGTTATCATAAAATATCCTTGGATTTCAAAAATACTCCTAAAATCTCCTAATTTAAACTTGTTTTTTGAACTTGAAGTTTTCTTTCAAATCTTTAAAACATAAATAATCTTGTAAAACATAACTAATTTTAATTTTAGATTTTTTTATCTTAAATCTGAAGCTTTAGCTACCTTATTCCTGTAAAATTTTGATAACCTTTACCATTCAATAAAAACCTTTACCCCTTCAATAAAAAAAAAAATGTAGTTGGACAAACAAACAAACAAAAAAGTTATTTATTGGTATGTAACGCTATTGATCTTGTCGTTGAAGTCTGATGGAGAGGGTCACTAATCTCTGATAAAAAAAAGTCTTTCAGGTGAGTTTTTTAAATAAGTTACCAACAAATGAATCAAATTTTTATAGTTTGGAAAGTGCAAATGGACTTCTTTCAAAATCAAAGAACAAATTTTATTGAATAAAATAAGGTCTAAAGTGACCTTCAGATTATCCTGTGAATAAAAACATAAAAACAAACTACAATATAATGTTTGAATTAATACAGGTAATAAAGTCCTTATAAAGACACGTCACAAAAAAACTTTTAAAATAAACAATCTAATAGTTTTTATCAAATGATTTAAATACATTATTAACTTCATTTAAAAAGAGTTGCAGTATCAGTATCGAAAATAGCCAAACTGAATAAGATCAAAAAGTGACTTTCCGGAATAATATTGAAATAGATAATAAAATTAAAATTGTAAAAAGGATATGTATCTAAAATACGAAAAGCAGATTAAGGTTGAAATAGCTCAAAAGAGAATAAGCTCGAAAAAGGGACTTCTCGGATTGATATAGAAATTATTGCCTGCCCAAACCAAACCCTCAGTCGATGTATTAGCATTCCTTGTATTTTCTTCCTATTTATCAGTCAATGTAGCAACACTCTTCGCATGTTCTACCATTTTTGCTAGTTTTTTGATCCTATTCCTAAATCCAAATTTCGTTATTATTCCATATAGGCGTTTTCGACATTATTCCTTCTAAATAAATTTCGATTTTTTTTTCGAATTAATTCCTTAAAATTAATTTTTGGTGTTAATCCCAATAAAAAAACCTTTTGATCAAAAAATCTTGATATTAATAAGTTTTTCGAGCAATTTTTTTTCGATACTCTTCTGCTTTCCCTATAAAAATTGATGCATATTATTGCTTTACAACTGATTTTCGCTACATTCCCCGTTTGAAGTGTCACGTGAGCAAAAGGAAACCTTCCATTACCGCAATAAAAAGCTTCCAGCAATAATTTAAATTTTTTTAACTACAATGATCTACAAAACCTTTTTTAATATACAAGACCTTTAAAGTCAAAGATATTTTTTCGTCGATAAAAAAATTACTTGTAGTTAGTTCAATAAGAAAAAACATTTTTATTTATAAGCAAAACTTGTTAATAAAAATTATATTTATAAGGCAAATTAAATTTTAGTACTGTTATCTTGTAGTTTTATAATTTAAAAAGAATGTAGTACTTACTTTATTATTTTCCATTTTTTAAAGCTAAGCTATTTATTTTTTTTAAACCTCGCTTTTTCATACATCGCAAAGAAAGACGTCTGTGTCAAACATATCTATTTAGCAATGACTCCCACATAGATGTAACATAAATTATGTAATTAGAAAATCAAACTTCAATAGCAAAACTTGAAATTAATACATAATTTTTGAATGTTTACATTAATTATAAAAATTCTTCATTCTGATTTGCCAGAGACACGTGATAATATTCAAAGTTAAAAATTGACGCTTTCTTCTAAATTACTTAATAAATTGTTGATAAGGATTGTTATTGCGTTTCTTGCATTTTTAAAACTAATTATTAATAACTTTAAACTTCCTTGTATTTGATATTTATATGGGATAAGGATGTAAAAACATGCATTCATAAATAAATATTTTAAAGCGAAACTAAATAGTGGGATAAATATAATCGATATTTATAACTATTACATCAGTGTTTTCCAAACTAAAAGTTGCCCCTCTCCTAGCTTTGGAAAGATTTTTTCAATAAGAACAAATAAATCTATCTGACAAAAATAAATAAATCTGATAAAAACAAGACATTCTTGGAGCAAAATTTTCTTCTCCGGGAAAAAGTTGTATCCGCCTATGTTATGTTATAAACAAATTTGAAATTAACACAGTGTATACGGACGTAAAAAAGATGTATTTTAAACGTCTTATTCCCTTTTTGGACGTCTTTTGAACATCTTTTGAACGTTTTGGATGTCTTTTGAACGTTCAAAAGACGTCTTTTTTTAGTCATGTGTCCACTGGGAATTGTGTAATCTTTAATATAGCACCTCTTTTCTACTTTCTCAACTTTACAATGCATTAATTTTGTCTTATTCATGTTTATTCTGATCTCTTTTGCTTCCATTCTATCACTCCAATAATGTTAGTATTAATTCTTCTTCTTTCTATCAAATTAGACACAAATCATCTGCATAGAGTTGTTCCTATGGCACTCTTTAAAGAGCTTCCAAGACAATAATAAAAAGCAAAGAACCCCGCACTGAGTCCTGACACATGCCAAATTTTACCCCAAAACTAAAACTATCATCTTTTGTCTTGACCACTGCTGTGACATTTTATACTTATAATAATTGCCACTATCCATTCTTCAACACCTAAATACCACAGATCCCACGATACCACCTCTCTTGGATGTTATTCATAAATACATTGCTTTTTCTTTTGTTTTTAATAATTCTTTTAAAAAACTAATTAAATTTGATTTAAAAACTAAAAGTTCATAACTTGGTCAAGCAGTCTTATTTTGTGATATTAACCATATTCTATTACGCCTCCACCTCCTTTATAAACCTTTACCATCCAAATCATTAGTCATAAGCTAATTTTCTAGTAATCAGGTTTTTACTTAAATAGATACTATATCCAGCTAGCACACTTACCTTGAGCCAACTTATGTAAATACAAAAATAAATTTTAAATTTTTTTTGTGTGTGTACTTTTTTAAAGTTGCGCTTGAAATTTATGTTATTATATTTTATATTTATTTCTTGAATATTTTTAATGTATAAATTCTTTTTTTTTTTTTTTTTTTTTTTGTTAATTTTTAGGTGCCCCAAGAAGTCCTTGCGGTCTTATCACAGAGCACCGCGGAAGAGCATTTAATAGGAAGTTCACGCTTCCTTCCCAACCGATGTCGCAAAACTTGCCCAGAGATGGGGTTTGAACCACGGATCTTACGTTTCTGAGGCAAGTGCGCTACCACTGCGCCACGGCTGCTCAATTCTAATTTCTAAGTATTTATTATTGACTTCTAATAGCTCGTAGACTCTAATATGAGTTAAGTAAATACTGTGTTGCTTTGGCATTATTGAGAATGCTATATCAATTATTCTGCATAAAAAGCATTGCAATTATACGGGTAGAATGTAAGGGATAAGAGATAGGGAAGGAGGGGGGGAGGGAATGGAAACATATTCTACGGAGAAAGTGCGGTCTCTTGACTTTCTCCGTCGACTTTCTCCTGACTTTCTCCGTTGAATCTACGGCAATTTGTTTAACAGTGTTGCTGTACTTTTTGAAATTTCTCTCAATATGACCTGCAAAATATTTTCTTTAATTTGTAAGAACCTGGTTTTCTAGATATACCGGATTCTTACTTTTATTCTGAATCGTAGCTTTTTTAACACTATTGTTAAGCTTTTTATCCAACAATGTCTAAATGTTTGACTCAGTTTAATATAATTTTTTTTTAAACATTAACTAAGGACCTTTTAAAAAAACAACCACTTACTGTTATAACATGCATTAAACAGGTTATGAGTGATACAAGTTAAGTTAGTAAAATAATTGTAATAAAACAGTTAAAACTAAAAGTTGTTGTCACACGCTTGAATAACAATTTTACTTAGATATATGCTTTAACTTTTCTTCAACTGTCTGAATTGTAGGGTTGAAAATTTCCGGAAATTTTCCGGAAAATTTTTTCACAAATTACCCACCTGGTAGTATTGATTGAAAATACGATATAAACTTAAACCATTTTAAAGTATAGCGTAATTTTTTAATTTACTGATTTATAAAATTAAAAATACCCTAACAAAGTTGTGGCGAGTAAGACTCAAGTCTTAAAAACACTTATTTAAACTTAGCAACGGAATTTATGACCTTGAAATCATCAGTTCTTTATTTTTATTGTATACTATATTTTTAAATAGTTCAAATTTAGCAATTTTTTTTTTTACTTTTTGCTTTCCATTAATCAACAACGTTGTTAAATCAAGAAAAAAATTGTAAAATACTGTAAATATTTAATCAAGTCATTTTATTTTTAATTTTACAGTTTTTAGTAACTTGTAGGCCAATCTTTATTTGTACTTTAAGGCTAAACATTATTTATACCCTCATCCCCATTAAGGATGAGGGTACAAATAATGTTTAGCCTTAAACAAAGCTTCCTACGGCACTGAACGTCAATATGCTTAGCAAATATAAGGATAAAACAATTTTAGAAAACTTTGAAAATAAATTATCACAGTTGTTACTTACAATAAAAAACTTAACAAAATACTAAAAAAAGTATTTTTCAAAGGAGGCTTTCTAAAAATTTATATTCTGCTTTGCAATATTTTACGATAAAATTGTCCATAACAACTGCATAAATAAAACATAAAAAGTAACCCACTAATTAGAAAATAATATTTTCTTGAAAATTTCTGAAATTTCCGGTAAATTTCCCGAGTTGAAAATTTCCGGGAAGTTTTTATCCCTACTGAATTGCAATAGATGTAATATTTATAATTATTTTACCATAATAAATAATACATTTATTTAAAGCAAAAACAAAATAAGCAAACAACACTTTTTCCTAAAGTTTCTTTTGATATTTTTAGAAAACAGGGTATAAATATAACAACAACAACAAAAAAAAACACAGTTAAAAGTTAATGTTTTGGTTTGTAATAATTTTTCTAAACGCTGTTATATGATATTTCTAAACGATATTTCTCGATATTTCTTAGCGATATTTCTCAATAAGTCATGAGAATAATAAAAAAGAACAAATTAGAGAACCATCAAAAAGAGTTAGACCATTTTATTTAGCATTTAAAATTTAGAATTGATCCAAGGAAAATAATTCCAATGACGAAGCGGCATCAATGTCAGGTAAAATGATGTTTTTTGTCTTTTGAAAGATGTTAGTCCTAAGCTATTATTTGTCCGCTGCGTTTCACACAAACAATTTAGTTGTTAGGAAAAGTTGTCAAATCCTAAAACAAGAAAATTTGTTTTACTAACTTAGAGAAATAACTTTTTTTTTAAATTATCTCCTAAATGAAGAAATTGTTTGAAAAGATATAACCTTCCTTGTCAAGCAAAATTATTTTGCAGACGTTGAACTTAATCAGTGAAAAAGTTTTGAAGATTTGATGCGTTTTTTAATAATTATTCAATAGTTTTTTTCTGTTTTAGAAGAAACGAAAAACAAATATTCAAAAGAGTATAATAAATAAACATCTTTAAAGCAATTTTTTACTTTTAAGTTAACAGGAAATTTTTCTTATATAATTTCTTAATTTAACTAAACAGTTTATTACTTTTATGAAGTCACCCTTAAAACTAAATCCTTTGATATTTCTCAGCAAATTGCTGAAATTCAGAACGTTAATAGTCATTAAAAAAAAAAATACATAGCAATGCCAATGTTTACTAAAAAATGATGATGATGAAAAAATGATATTAAATAGCTCATGCATTAGCAAAAGTATTTGATGTTGACAGGGGCAACTCTAGGAATATCCTAAAAAGAGCCGACTGTTTTTTTAAAAAAAGGTTCCCAAAAAAAGGTTCCCAAAAAAAGGTTCCTAAATATAAAAATCTGCCAATATAAATGCGTCATATGCTAACTAGCCTTACTCCTTAAAAAACCGACTATAAGTTGAAAACAACCTTCTTTGGTGGGGGAGGGAGGCGATGGGGGAACATCTCTTTTTTAAAATTGCTCTTTGTTGATGAAATAAAGCATGTGGTGTTTAGAAGAATTGATACAATTAAGTATATGACTTTATATGAATACTGTAAGAATGCGTTCCGAGATAGAGGTTTTAATTAAAACTATATTTACGTTATTGTAACTTTATGAAGGCGTTGTATAGAAAATAAGCGATAAGAAATGTTGTAGTTTATCATTAAATTGGCGACGAAGATAAAAGAAAAGAAATTTAAAATAAAATAAAAAAATTAACGAAGATTTTAGTAAAAAGCGTATTTATCCATGGCTATAAAATCCTTAATTTACCAAACTTTCCACCGTTTTCATGTACTGAAGAAGCAAGTAAGTTATTTTCAAGCTGGAAACGATACATTAAACGATTTGAGCTACTTAGCGATTCACTTGTAATTACAGACGATAAACAAAAACTTTCGTTACTTCTAAATTGGAGATAACACTTACGAAATTTATGAAAACATTATACCTCAAGATACGCTAATCACATACCAACAAGCTGTAGAAGCTTTTAACAAACATTTCAAGAACCAAGTAAACCTGAGCTATGAAATCTTTATTTTTCGCAAGATGGCTCAACGTATAGACGAAATCACTCAGCAGTTTTTCGTTCGATTAAACGAACAAGCTATCAAATA